GTAGGTCAAGTTGCCATTATGTGACAAACAACAAAACTTCACAACTCATCCTTTCCTCTAGAGTTTCTTCTGGGTGTTGTTACCCGGTTTGTGGAATCTGTGGCATTGATGTGGGAAGGAAGATGCCTTCCAGAACCCAGAGAGGCTGTAGGTAGGTCAGATAAGGCTGAGACAGTGCTGCTTCTGGTCCAGCATGGAGCTACTATGAGAATTGGCTGGGTGTGGACCTGTAGTCACCTACAGTCACCTCTCCCTGCCAGCTGCAACTCCCTGCTCAGAAACTGTCCTCTTGGGACCCTCTGCCTGCTACAGTCTTCTAGGGTAGGCACAGTCACCTTGCATCCTTTACCCAGAGAGTAAACAAAGACTGCTTTGGGACCCACTATTCTAAGGGGCAGCAATAAATTGTAAATTGTACACATTATTCTTGCCTCAAATACTTTTTGGGAGAAGTCTGTCAGAACATCTCTAAGAGGCCGGGGATATAGCTCAGTAGCATAGTGCCTGACTGGCAATGGTGAGATCATGAGTTTCATTCCTGTACAAAAACAAAGAACCAAAACATACCTAAAATCCTGTCATGTGTAAAAGAAAAATCCAGTAGTGTATTGGGTGCTCTAGGCATGTGCTTGAAGCGTTCTAGCCAGAAAAAGGCCAGAACAAAGGTGGGTGAGATGCAAAAGCCACCCTGTATGGGACAGAGAGCCCACCTCAGCCCAGCACCCTGGTTTGAGGCCTGGGTGTGACCTGAGACTTTGCTGAAGACTGTGGTTAAGGGGAGTGGACTAGTTAATCTGGCAGAGGAAATCTCAAAGCAGCCCAATATTTATGCTGTGGCATGGGTACTGCTGGCTGCTTTTAGCCAGATAGATACTCATTCAGTGAGAATCAGAACAAGAAACAAATGTAAAAAAGTTTGCAGTTTCATCACAAAGGAAGAGCCTGCAAAGTTGACAATGGAATACATGGCTGCTGAAAAGATCACCATTAAAACGGAGCCAAGTACGTTGCATCAGGATAATAGGAAAGATGGCTTTAGGGCATCTCAGGAATCAGCAAGATCCACTCTTCACAGATTCAAAAGTACAAAACTTTAAGTAAAGCTTTTATGTGAGATTTCCCTGCTTGAGAAGGGCCACCTGGGGAATTAGTTCCTGGGATTCATTTCACAGTGCTCTGCCATCCCAGCACACTGCAGTTTCTGTAGCCATGATGCAAGGGAGCCTGGCTGCTATTCAAGCTGGCAGTAAACCTTGGTGTTGTCCACACAGTGCTGGCTTTTTGGGGATGCAGAATGCAAGGGATCATGCAGATTTTCATCCAGAGTTCAGAAGGCCTGGAAGGCCAGGCAGTGTGCTGCGAGAGTGAAGCCAAAAGTGCAGTGGAGACCCCAGAAAGTTAAAGATGCCAGGAAGCCTTGAGCAGTGAGCAGAGCCACCCCAGCAGAGAGGAAACGTGAGCTATTAGCGACACATTTGCTCAAGCCTTCATATCTTGCTGCTGTGTGCCATGGATGCTGGGCTTAGAGCTGCATGATTTAATATTTGTTCTGATGGGCTTCAGTCCACACTGGTCCAGTTGCTTTCTATTACCCTGTTTCTTCCTTGTGGAATAGGATTGTTTACCTCATGCCATTGTTTCTTGGGAGCAAATAACTTGCTTTTTCTATTTTACCAAAGTCTCAGAGGAGACTTTGGACTTGGGATTTTCAGCTGTGCTGGAACTGTAATATAACTTTGGCAACTGTTGGAGGTGCGCATAAGTCTTTTGGGGGCTGGGGTGGAATATTGTAGTTCAGATCTGAAATGGCTCCCAGTTTCATGTGTTTGGAAGGTGATTGGAGCATGGGGTGCCCTACTGATCCACTGATTGGTAGGTGAGTACAGCTAAATGTGCTGTTAAAAGGAGGGACCATAACCAAGTGTGTTGGCACGCACCTATAATCCTTGCACTTGGAAGACTGAGTCAGGAGGATCACCATGATTTTCAGGTCGACCCCGGCTATGTAGTGAGTGTCTTAGTTACTTTTACTCATTGCTAAGACAAAATACCTGATGCCCAAAGTTGGGGAAGGAAAAGTTTATTTCTTACAGTTTTTGGATGTTTCAGTCCATACTCAGTTGGCTCCAAGGCAGTGTGGCATGGCAGCATGGCAGACCGCAATTCATGGCAGCTGCAAACAGCAAGGCAGAAACCTTGCTAGGAGAGACACACCTTCTTCCAGCCATTACATTGTATGCTGGCTCCACCCCTAGGGGGGTGTAGCACTGACACCATCAATCCAAGCGCTAGACAATGAACCAATCACAAATGCACAGTGCAAATGCATGGCCTGGGGCCCACTGACATAAACCATGACAGTGAGTTTAAGACCAACCTAAGACTGGAGATTTAGCTCAGTGGCATAAACACCTGCCTGGCAAGTGCAAGGTCGTGAGTTTGATCCCCAGTACAAAAAAAAAAAAAAAAGACCAATCTAGATTATATAGCGAGACCCTGTCTCAAAAAAAGGTAACAAAACTGTGGTACCTGTTTGGAGGTGGTCACGAGGAGCATTGCCCTCAGCTCCTCTTTCCTGTCTGTCTGCTTCCACATCAGGAGAGCACCTTCCCACCACCAGGCCCCTCTGCCATCTTGCTTCTGCTTGGAGCCTGCCAGCTGCGGACTAAACTCTTCAACCAAAAATAAACTTCTCCTTTAAGTCGAGGGTGTCAGGTATTGTGTCAGTGACAGCAAAGTGATTAAGATAGCCCACATCCAGATTGCGGCCCTTCCAGGGGGAGAACCACCAGTGTCTCCTGAGATCCATGCCATGTTGGAACTTAGGACCCTGAGAAACCAAGCAACCAGCCTGCCTCCCTGCTAAGCAATAGTGAACCTACTGGTGCACAGCCTAGAGTCAAACATCCCACTTCCCTTACTCCCCAACCCCGCCTTTAGCAAATGGGAACCAAAAATCTGAGCATCTCTTGGGAGGTTGACCATAGCAAATAAGGGGGATTTCCTTCTACCATCTCTTTGAAGGCAAATATTTTTATTACTGTTTTGCCTTATTCTGATTAATGGTACTGCTCTATTCAATATTCTGTTTGGATAAGTTCTATAATGTTCTGTATTTCATTTTATTTTGATATACGTGATTGAAAGAACAACTATTGTAAAGATAACGAAATATACTGTGATACCTATTACGTTATCCTGGTAACCTGCTGTGAAGTTCTGTACTAATTTCACTACACGGTCTCAGGTGGCTTTATTCTGTCTTGTTCTGTTGTATTTTACTACTTTCAAAATTAAAAAAAAACGATAGCCCACATCATCCATTTTATCTGAGTATTCCCAAGTCAGTCTCTTGGCCTAGTGCCCCTGCTCTGGTAGCTTAGACCAAGCCAGATCACCTTGGGTGATGTTCTCAGATAATGTCCCCAGGTGCCAGCACATGCCTGCCATGACACACCTAGGCTGTGGGCACAGTGTAGATGTGACACAGGCTTTTGATGCCCTGCTTGTCAGCCACCTACTGCACTGCTGGGTGAGGGAGCAAGTGACTTTACCTATGTGGATATTGTCATTGGCTTCATCAGCGTATGTTTATATTGGTTTTATTGAGGTGTCATTTGCATGTAATAAAATTTCCCAGTTCCAGTTGTATAATCAAGTCTTGACAGATACATGCATTCTGAGTCACAATGACCTCAAGCAGAATGGAGAGGATTTCTCTTCTACTTCACATTCCTTGGTGCCTCCTGCAATCAGTGTCTGACTCCACCCAGCTCTGCTAATCGCTCTTTTGCTCTTTTGTTGCTAGAGTTTTGCCTTTTCTGGGATTTCAGGTAAATGAAGTCTCACTGTGCACAATCTCCGTGGCCTTCTTTTTTAACATGGCAGGATGCTTTTGAGGTTCATCTCTGTTTTGTGTTATCAGCAGTTCAGTGTGCTTTTATAATCACCTTGAGTCCAGAGACAAATAACTATGCCCAGTAAGGTTCAGCTTGGTAAGAGTGTACCCTGCACACTGGTGGACCCTGCTGGGTTGGAAGTCTGCAGTGCCCAGGGTGCTTCTGGTTCGCACAGAAGTCTTCTTTTACCCACTCCAGTCCAAGTCTGAGGGGTTTCTAAAGGCTCTTCCTCTCCAGTGTTAAGAAGCCTGAGTGGAACAGGCAGAAGTGCCCCTCTGTCTTCTGTTGAACAATGTGGGCTGCATCAGTGTGTGAAAGAGCTGGGATTACATCAGTGCTGGGGCACTTGCAGAGAGGTCCTAAGACCAAACAGTTTGAGATCATCAATTAGAGATGCTGCTGAAAGGAGGTTGGGGAGAGAGTTGGGGCTAGCATTAGGGGTCGGGAGTGGTCTGGAAATCTGGGGTGCCCACCAATCTGAGGCCCGGAGAAGACTGGGGGTGGTGAGGGGCAGGGCAGAAGCATAGCCTGGCCCTTTCTTCACTCTCAGCCCACACCCAGCACCTGTCCAGCAGGTTCTGCCAAGGTCCCACTGCATCTGCCTCCTCCAGAGAGCTAATGAGTAACTCAGGACAGTGACTGCGGCGGGTGGCCAGGGCGCGGTGACTGCGAAGCCCAGAGAAGCGGTTGCCAAGATGAAGTGGCACCTGGGCTCTCCAGCCAGGTGAAGTGGTGAGGGGGCTGCCCTTTCTGCTGGGTTCCTAGCCAAGGACAGGCCTGAGAACTCAGCAGGACTGCTGGCTGTGGCTTTCAAGAAGAGACAAAAGGGCTAAGGATTTAGCTCAGCGGGCATAAGCACCTGCCTTGCAAGCAGGTGGTCCTGAGTTCAATTCCCAGTACTGATTTAAAAAAAAAAGAGGAAACAAAAGCTTTCTTCCACCATAGTTCTAAACACAGATTGGGACAACCTCCAACATTAATTTCATTGTAAGCACAGAGGCTGTGGTTCCTGCCACAGTCTTCCTTGCTGAGCAGGCTGGGCTTGCCGGTGCAGACTTGAAGGGAACCTGGCCACTCTGACCTGTAACTTCTCTCCTGCAGGCGGAAGGGGCTGTGGTTCCGAGTAAGAAAAGTGCTTCTCTGTGTTTTGGGGCTGTATCTTGCCATTCCCTTCCTCGTCAGACTGTGTCCTGGGATACAGGCCAAACTGATTTTCCTGAATTTTGGTAAGTACTATATGGATTTGTCTTCATGGTGATGTCGATTTTTAGGGGTGTCTTTTTATTCTGAGACTGAATTCACATGAAGTGAAATGTGCAGATTTTCAGGGAATAGTGTGCGATGAGGTGATTGAAAAGCAACACCTGTCCATGTGCAGGAGCTCAGTGTCCATCTAGTCAGGGTTCTGTGAGAGGCTTTCCCAAGTCCACTGGTCCCTGGGTAGCTGCAGAGTACTCTGCAGCTGTCCTACTGGGGATACTTTGCCTGTGAGCAGTTGACGAAGCTGTCCTTAGAGAAGGTGACCATGAAAGCCAAGCAAGGTGGTGTACACCTGTAATCTCAGTATTCTGGAGGCTGAAGCAGAGGGATCACTGAAAGTGTGAGACCAGCCTGAGCTACATAGTGAGTTCAAGGCTTGCCTGAACTGTATAATGAGATCCTGTCTTAAACCCTCTCCTCAAAAAAAAAAAAAAAAAAATGACACATTGGAAAGTATAACACCTTTAAAACTAAAAGAGTAGGTTACTTTTTTCCTTGAAAAAAAAATTTGTTTTTTCTCAAGAAAACTTGACATGCTTTGGTTTCTGTGTGGGCCTCGCAGTGTTGTGTTGTGGATTCCCTGAATTTACCTGTTCTTAGGCTATGTTTGCTGTGTGTATGTGTGTGCACATGTGTACATTTACTTTCAGAGATAGGAGAGCAGAGTCTAGCTCATGAGAGAAGCCAGAGGGCTGGCCTGTGTGTTTGCTGGGCACAGTCCCTTTAGGACGGTTGTCCCCAACCTCTTTTGGCACCGAGGACCAGTTTCCTGGAAGAAGAATTCCCGTGGGGCAGTGGATGGTGGTCGGGGACACCCCCAGTGCACAGTCCATGGTGGTATGTTCTTACCTTGCTCCTGTGGCAGGGAGCCTGCTACCTTGCAGGCTGACAAGAGGCAGAGCTCAGGTGGCAATGCCACTGCTATGGAAAGCTGTGAATATTGGTGACGTTCGCTGCTTTGCCCTGCTCTGCTGTGCAGCCCAGGTGCCTGATGGCTGCAGACTGCCCCCAGCTGTGGGGCTGAGAACCCCTGATTTGGAAGATTGCTTTGTAATCATGATGGGCGGGGGCAGGGTAGGGGGAGCTGGCACACGAGGAGTGAGGAGGTGGGCTCTGCGCAGGCTGTTGAGGTGCTCCTGCAGGGTGGGTGCAGCCCCTATGGGCCTGCAGGGTTTGAAGCCCAGCTGGCTGCTGGGGGGGAATAATGAGTAGAAGCTGAGGGGAGGCGCCACCAGATCCAAATGCAGGGTCATAGAAGGGCTGGGTGCTTGGGAGTGTGGATTTGGCAGTGGTCTGGGAAGCATAAAGCCAGGGACAGTTGAGTGGGTAGGTGCATCTTGGACCGAGACCTCCAGGGACCACAGACTCTGAAGAGCCTGGGTTCAGGAGTTTGGGGGAATCAGCCAGTAACAGACTTAATCCCAGAAACAGCCAAAACTGGCTAGCAGGGAATTTTTGTTCATTATGCTAGTAGGAGAAATGTAAATAGAAAGGTTGACATTTATTATTTTGTGAATTTTTACTAAGTTTTTTATATTTAGGTACAATAAAGTATTTGTGAAATATGTGTGACATACTGCAAAGGCATTTGATTTTTGTAATGGATGAATAAGTAGACTTCCAGGAATTTATGGTGTCTTACTTTTGCCACTTTTGGGGAAAGCATAATCTTACGTAGAAACTAACGATGTCTTGCTATCAGGGGAAGGGAGTTTTGGTTTTCTGACTGTAATGTCCAAAATATGGAGAGTAAAGCATAGAAAAGTTTATGGGTGAGTGTAACCATGAGGCCCTGGATGCAAATCTATAGGTGCAGACCATAGACTCAGCCCACACAGGTGATCTGGACATACTCAGCGGTTACATTGTGCGTAGGCTCCCTGCTGTGGGGTATGAGCTCTGTGTGCAGAGGAGTGCACAGGGCACACTGTGTGCTTCAAGCAAAGATCTGTATTGATTGTCTGCAGATAATGGTGGAGCTATTTCAAGCACAATGCACAGATTTTGTTGTGCTGGTTTCCTGAGGTGATTGCAGAGTGTTCTGCCAGAACAGAGCTTTGGGTCCTCCTCCTCAGCCCTCACAGGGCAGGGAGGAGGCTGTGCCCAGGTGGTGGGAATGTCAGGAGCCAGGGGTGTCTATCCCTAATGATTTCTGTCTGTTAATGGGAACATAGCATCCTCCCACCCCCGCAGGCTTGTGTTTTTTGTCTTTGGGCTGCTGGGGATGGACCTGGTCTGTGAGCTTGCTGGGCAAGTGCTGTTACATGGAACTGAGCCTCCAGCTCCCTGGCTGTGTCTGTAAAGGAGATGCATGTTGTCAGTTGTCTGCAAACCTGATTGACCTCTTGAAAAGTTACTCAATAAAACCTGACAATAGCAGGCTGTAGGTTGGGAGCCCCTGGGCTACACCCCAAGGTGTGTGATCAGCACAGCTGCCCTGCTGGAAGGAGCGTCCTGTCCCCAGGCCCTGCCACCTTCCCAAGTGGAAGTACAACCCAGAAGTGCTCTGGAGGGGCTGTGCTCTGCATTGCAGCTCCAGCCTGATAGTGACCACCAATGTCTCCTCACTGGAGGCAGAGCAGACAGGTTCCGAGGCAGGTCCTGGGACCTGAGTTTCGCTTCAGGCTGGGGAGAGCCTGCATGGTGGTCATGGCTGCTTTGTGTTTCTCTTTTCGAGATGATAGTAGTGACTCCATGGGTGACATGGAAGGGGGTGAGGTGGTCCAGACTGTAGTTAATGTATTCTTAAAGCTTACATCAAATTTATCTGAAACTACATGCATAAATCAGATAACACTTTAGAAGAAGCATAGTACCTATGACTTTAAATATACTTTCATAAGCAAGAAAAATGTGGAAACTGAGCCCAAAAATGTAGTATAAATAACAAAATGAATTCTATTGACACTGTCCTTTCCTGCAGTCTTTTTATAAAAAAATGCATCCATTCACACAGCTGTATGTTCTTGAATTAAATCACCAAATTCAATTTTTTTTTAAAAAAAGTGTCCATTCAGATAAACAACCATGTATGCTTTTATTAACTTGGCATCCCCAAATCTATTCTACCCCAACCATGTCTGTGTGGTTCCTACCATCAAAGGCCTGGGAGTCTAGGTACTTCCTCAGTGTCAGAGGTCAGGGCTGTGTCCCAGTGAAGGAAGTCTCGGCCCAGAGCCAGAGAGAACATGAGGAGAACATCACCTGGATGACTGCATGGGGTTCAGCACCTTTTGTAAACAGATCCATAGTCCCCATAATCCCCAGCCTCTTTCCTCCCCAGAGCAGGCCCTGTGAACTCCCAGGAGCTGGCTGACTTGCTTTCTCCCTCAACTGTCACACAGGGTTTCACTATGTAGCCCAGGCCGGCCTTGAATTTGAGGCTATCTTCCTGCCTTAGCCTCCCGAGTACTCGGATTACCCACCACACCCAGCCCCAATAGCTTTTTTTTCTTTTCCCTCTGCTTCCCTAGAAGCCCCTGTAGCCTCATTGAGTGACTGAAATTGTGTGAGACAGTCTGCCCAACAAGGCTGCTGTTATTGCTGTGATGCATCAGGTGACGCCTGCGGCTACAGTTTCTGAAATTGTCACAACTTCCTCAAGCTCAGCATGTCAGCTTTCCCCTATCAAGTTTCCCAGATTAGCTAAAAAGTGGTGGAGCAGGTTGTTTTCCATCTGTTCGTGTATTTATTTACTTGCTCTACTGTCTGTGTGATCCCTTATAAATCATACCTGTTTGACTTGTCCCTGCTGACTTGTGCTGACAGAGCCAGAGGTGGCTAACAGCACCTAGGTGAGCCAGAGGCTTGGAGGCCTGAGCCTGGGGCCTTGGCAGCGCAAGGGTGTGTGGGAGAGGAGCACCCTGCCATGCCCCCCCCCCCCCCCGCACTGAGCCCTGTGCCTCTGCTCCAGCCTGCATGCCCAGCCAGGACCTACCTGGGTGGGCTTCGGGCAGCTTCCCAGAGGTGTAGGGGCTACAAAGGGTGATGGCCAAGAGGACCTGACCGGGCATGACCTCAGGAGTTCCAGCCTAGGCAGTCCAACAATGGTGCTGAGGCCCGTTTGTCCTGTACACCCCTGCCTTGTCCCTTGCTTGGTGGCTGTTGTCTCGGTTCCAAGGGCCACTGTTGGTGCCCCCTGGACACACTAGGTCAGCCTTGGAGTCCTCACCCTGGTTGGAGGGCTGCAGAGGAGAGCGTGGTGCCTCTTCTTCCCAGGAATAAAAGTGACTTGGAAGGCAAAGTCCTGAAACAGGGCTGTTCTGGAGTAGAATTAGGTTTCTTTTGTTTCGTTTGAATTCTCAGTTTCTGCCTTCACCTGGAGTACCCGAAGCATACAGGCGGTATATATTCAAGCTAAGGCCGGGCCTCAGAGGGCACTCTGCCCTCCACACTGCTGCTCTCTGTCAGCCGGGGCAGACAGGCCTGGCATGGAGGCTACTGGCCTGAATGAGTCAGGCACTGACCTCGAGCTCCACTGAGGATCCCCTTCACGAGTGCTGGGTGGTTGTGGATAGCCTGCAGGTTCTGAGCACACATAGTGTATTTAAAGTCAGGGCGCAGGTGCAGCTGCTACAATGGGCACATGGTCAGACCCTCTGCTGGGTCTGAAGGCCAGGAAGCAGCCTGAGCTCCTCAGTGTGGCTGTTTATATCCGGTGCTCCGCTCCAGTCTTGGGAAGACACCTTTGTGTTCTTACAGTCCTAGAGGCCTCCAGAAATCTGTGACCACGCAGTTAGCCATGCTACACTGCACAGGTGTGGTTCTTTCTGCTCTTGTCGACATCTGGTGGAGCCAGCTATCCTCATCTCCCTTGGCTTGTCCATGCTTGTGGTCCTCTTCATGTGGCTTCCACATTCTTAAGACATGGTTATGCTGCATGAGGGTCTTCTCTGATGACCTAATTCGGGTTCTGTTACCCTGTGAAGACCCCTCTCTAACCAAGGCCACACCCTTGGTGGGGGGTGTCAGTGTGGGAGTATGACTCAGCTGTGACAGAGAAACTTGGGAAAATTTTTAGTGTCTCCCTGGCTCCTGGGGAAGAGATGGATTAAGAAGCTGGGAGGGGAGAGGGGTAAACAGTCTCAGGAAGGTACCTCCCTAACACATTCAGGCAGGTCTGAGGAGGAAGCCTGTATGCTCCTCATCCACACACTCTGGTGGTTATTTATCCAGCAGCTGCTTCTAGAGTCTCAGCTACTCTTGAGGAAGTGAAAGCCTGTCACTTGGGAAGGCTGTTGCAGCCTTGGCTTCCTCCTCAAGCACGTGAGACAATAGTCAGAGCTGTCCTATTGTTTGTCACTGGCTCACTTGGGCGCTGCCACTTTGTGGAGTGAGAAATCCCATCTCAGGGTTTATGGGTTTCTTTTTTATATATATTTAAATTTTTCAATTGAACATATCTTTGAAAGTTGGGCTTATCACAAGCAACAAAACTGCATGGTGTCTTCATCACTTTTTTCATCCGTGGGACAAATGCTGTACCTGACACACAACTTGAAGGAGAAGTTTCTCTCAGCTCACATTTGTATCCTCTGGCCGACTTTCAAAGCAGAATGTTGAGACATGGACCTGGTGGTCTGAAGTTGCTCGCGTCATTTCAGCCAGGAAGCAGAGAGAAGTTGGAGCTGGGGAGGGGATGCACCCTGCCAAGGCATGGCCTAAGCAACTGCCTCTCTAGGTCCCACTTCGCTGTATATCAGCTGTAACACCCCTGGGTGCTACATGACTCCATGTAGATACAAGTGCTGTGTAAAAGAAGATGAAGCATCTATGTCCCCACACCTGGCATGTGCCTCTAGTTCTCCTGTGCTGCGCATGGGTGTGGTGGTAATTGGGGCTGTTTGTTGGTATTTGCAGTTACAGAGTGGGCTTACAGGGATCCATGGAGTCACACCACCTCTCCTCGTTCCTCTCACCCACTTCTGGGTCCTTTGGGTTTCCAGCAGGGCTCTGGTTGGTCCAGCCCATTGTCCCAATGGCCAGTGACCTGTTCAGTGCAGGACTCCTGTTGCTCATGTGGCTCACTGTGGACAAGTCCTCTGGGTTCATGTGTTCAGCTGCCTCACATCTTGTTTTTGGCGATCCTTTCTGCATTAAGGGACCATGCTAGACACTTCCAAAGTCTTTTACTTTCTTTACCTCTTAAATCAAGTTTGTCCTTGAGTCCTGTGGCTACAGCCACAGAGCAGCTTTGATGTCATCTTCTTTCCTATAGTCCCTGCCACTTTGAGGCCCCAGGCTTTAGCCATGGCTTGGTGGAGCTCCTCTATAGATCTCTCGAGGGCCTTTCCTTCCCTCATGTACGTCTCAGATCAGGAACAAGCTTGTTGTTGTGGTCTTCGTTCAGACCTTGCCCAGACAGCATTGTCTGCGGAGCTGTGTGTTCCAGTGCATGTTCAGCCCCGTCCTTGCCTGGGACCCTGGGGGAGCTTTACCTCACTGTGTGTGGGGTCTGTGCACCCATGGACTCATATGTGCACATGTCGGCAGGTGTGTATGGCAGAGCATTGTGTGCATTTGTGGGCAGGTTGTATGTGAGTGTGCACATACGTATTGTGTGCCCCTGTACCCACTGACCTTGACTCCCATCTCTTTGTGCCCTGCAGTGAGGGTTCCCTACTTCATTGACTTGAAAAAGCCTCAGGAACAAGGTTTGAATCATACCTGCAATTACTACCTCCAGCCAGAGGAAGACGTGACCATTGGAGTCTGGTGAGTGTCCTGTGCAGCTGCAGCTACCACTGGTGCTTTTCCCGTGGGCTCTGTGTTGCTGCTTCCTGTTCTACAGGAAGAGCTCAACTGAGTTTGATCCTTATAGTGTGGTATGAAAACTGTACCAGTCTTTGTTCTGAGTTTTTCCAAATAGCAGAGGCTTTGTGACCAGGTTATTTTTAATGTTCTTGCTGAGGGACAGTGTAGGAGTGGGGAGCGAGCTAGAGACAGAGCACACCCACACAAAACATCAAACACTGGTGTGGAGGAACTGCCTGCTGGAAGCAGGAGAGCTTTCTTTTCGCACAAAAAAATCTTCTAACAGGAGTGATGCTATTTGCTATCTTCTATTTACTGCTTTTGCTTTAAATTTAAATGAAATTTAGGCTGTATATGGTAGTTCAAACCTGTATTCCCGGCAGTTGTTAGCCTGAGGCAGAAGAACTGCCTCAAGTTCAAGGCCAGCATGGAATAAATAGTGATTTCAAGGCCAGCCTGAACCATATATAGTAAGACCCTGTCTCAACAAAAAATGAAAAGCAAAACACAAACTGTTTACATTGGATTTAAAACCTGTGATTTCCCTGTGTTTCCTTGAGAATATGTTGTGATATTTTTTCTCTAGATTAAAGTTGGTGTCCTGAACAGCTGAATCAAGATTGATCAAGCGTTTCACTGGCACTTTCTTCTCTTAGAAGCAGCTCTTAGTTACTAGCTGGGTTTATTTTTGCATAGCTGTCAAGTCTCTTTCTGCTCTCAGAAAACTGCTGCGTGTGTGAGGCACTTCTCAATGGTGTGCCAGGCATCACCTCCCAGTGTGCATGCAAGGACACGCTGGCACTTGTAAGGGCTCAGTGAGAAGGGAGAGCATTGTGCTGCCTTCCAGTGTGGCCAGATCTGTGCTTTGTGATCAGACAGAGCCCCTCAGACCCTGTAGTTAGGAACAACCTGCTATGCCAAGCTTCTTGTGCTAAGCACAGGTGTCTTGCTGTGGAACAGGACTAGGGGACTGATCCTTAGTCTGAAAGCACCTACCCTATTGCCTGCCTGGAGGAATCTGACTGACAACAGGGGCACATCCCAAAGCTGTGACATCCCAAAGCCACTTAGTGGGTTGCTGGGTGCCAGTGCTGCTGCATCTGTGCCCCTGTACCACTGTGGTGACCACAGGGCACTGCCCACTAGGCCAGCAAGCAACCTTCCTCTAGAGTCTCCCAGCAACATCCCAAACCTTGTGGCCTCAGCCCCTCTCTACTGGCCCTGGTGGGTGTAAGGGCAGGAACGGAGCCCTCGGGCCAGCTGGGTGCCTGGAGCTGGCCAATGCCAGCGCCTTTCACATTCACAGGTGCAGGGCTGCATAATGACCAGAGCGAGCCCAAAATGTGATTCCTTGAGTAGATCAGAGGTGAGATGCTGTTAGATATGCTAACACATACCTGTAATTCTAGCACTGAGGGAGAGAGTTGCAATTTCTAGTCTTGCCCTGGTATGTTAGGTGAGACCCTGTTTTAAAACTGTTAGGCAGGTATGGTGGTGTTAGCCAGACTATAATCCCAGTATTCAGGCTGAGGGAGGAGGATTGCCATGAAGGCAAGGCTCATCTGGACTATAGTCTGAGCTAAATAGCAGTAGTAAGACACTGCCTCAAAAAAGGCAAAAAAAAAAAAAATTTTTTTTTTAAAAAATTTAGAAGTACAGGGGATACAGCTCAGTGGCAGAATGGCCCTGGGTTCGGTCCCCAGTACAAAAACAAAAAGCAAAGAAAGAAAGGAAATCCTGAAACTTAAGCCCCAAAAGATATGAAATTGACTATTTGATTTTTCAGATTTTTGTCACTGATATGTAGAAGGAATTTGAAGGTTATAGAGAAACTTTCTTCCAGTTCTCCCATTTGAGCTGCACTGAAATGAACCTTAGTATCCCTCTGAAGGAGAGCTGGGCCGATGGAGAGTGAGCCCCTATGACTTGTGTGACTTGGGGCGCAGGGAGCTTCTGACCTACTGAGCTTCTGTTTATTTGGGAAAAGTATGTTGGCCTCCTACCCTGTTAACTGCTACAGGAACCTGTTTCTATGGCCCAGAAGCAGCCTGCGTCCTGAGGAAATGCTCCTGAGCTTGTCAGCAGCTGGCCCTGTAGCTTGTGGTTCCCTGCAGCCTGTGATGTGGAGGCAGCCATTCACGTAGCCTTCTAATGGCCACCACCACCTCTGCTGCTTCTTCCAGGCATACCATCCCCGCCGCCTGGTGGAGGAACGCCCAAGGGAAGGACCAGATGTGGTACGAGGATGCCTTGGCTTCCAGCCACCCCATCATTCTGTACTTGCATGGGAATGCAGGTACCAGGTGAGGCAGAGGAGCCCACATAGGATGCATCTTCCCTGCAGAGTTCAGCTCCTCATGGGGCCCAACCAGGACTGAACCTACCACCCCACCAGATCAGGCTCATAGGCCTTCTGCAGTGAGAAGGAGCATCCCAAGAGCAAAGGAGTAGCAGGGTCTCAGCCAATTGGGGAGGTGGGGTTTGGGTAGAGTTCACAAGACAGGGCAGTATAGTACATGCAGGCTTGGCAATCTGGTTTGCAGGACAGACTTGGGGACCACAACCCTAAGCAGCCTGTCTATAGCTGTGTGGGGTTGGGGCACATAGGCTGTGTCTGACTGAGGAACCCAGCCCCTCTGTCCAGGGTGTCTGTGAGAGCGGTGTGCAGGTCTGAGTAGCCGCAACCGAGTAGTCTGCTCCCGCAGATGAGTGCTGTGACTACCCTGATGCCAGCAGTGTCAGCGCATCCCAGTGGGCTGCTGCTGAGGAAGTTGAAGAGTGCGTCCTTCAGGACAGCTCGAGCTGGAATTGCTTGCCCCAGCCACACATGGCTGTGCTCCTTCCACAACACCACCACTTTCCTGCTTCTGTGGAACCCAGAGGGGAAGAGGGGAGGTGCTCTTCTTCAGCAAGGCACTGCTTGAAATTCCCAGGGTCACTGCTTCTGCAGCTTCCTCGGGTTGCCTGTGAGAGCCAGTGGCAGGGAGGTGGGATGACCACAGGGCTGTACCGAGGGTGACTGGGATGTGGGCATTTTGCAGGAGAAGCAGTAGAGAGAACTGTGTGGGGACCTTTCTGCCTGTGAGCAGGTTAGGGGGAGTGTCTGTGCCTGGGAGCATGGCCCATGGTGGTCTCGGAGCTGAGGACTACATGGCCTGAGTCACTCGAGCACCATATTGTCTGCTCTCTGGTTAGTGGGGACAAAGCTGCAGTGGCTTGACTTCTGCTTTTCAGAGAACAAGTGTACACACAGCTCTGGTGGCATCTTTCTATAAATGGGAAAGTGCAGCTGGCACGAACAGGGCCCAGCTCTGCAGTGCCAGTCATGTGATAGAAAAGACAAAGCCTGCTTATAACTTTAGGTATGAAAGGCACACAGGGGCCATGAGGTCCGCCCTCCCTCCTACCCCAGCTGCTGCCTCTGTCGCAGATCTCGCCTGCATTATCTGTGATTCCTTACCTCTCGAGGGCCTGCCCTGTTCCCTGAGCCCCATCTCCCAGCAAATCCAGTGGGGTGTCCTGGCAGCTGTAGGCTCTGTTGATCTGCAGAACACCAGCACTCAGTGTCCCCGAGGTCCAGACCCCATACGCTCCTGAGGTTGCTTTTCCTTTTTCCTCAACCACAGAGAAAGGAAAAGTTGGAAAAACCACTACCATAAAGTCTTCCAGAGGTAACTGGAAAAGTTTTGCAGTATTTTCTCCTGGTCTTTATATTTTTGTCCTTGCACCTTCTTGGTTTTCTTCCTTTGTCTCATTGTTGTCTCCCCTGCAGCGTTGCCACACCACTCCCTCACACATACCTGTAGTGGCCTAAGGAGTGATCCTTGTTGAGAAAGAGGGCCAAAAGGGAGGGGAGGGCTCCTCTGGTGACCTGTCGTGCAGTCACCACTGAGGGCACAGAAGCTCACCAGACAGAACTGTGAGCACGTGGAACATTCAAAAACAGGAAGTGTCTGGTTTAGCTGGTGTGCTGTGGAGTGTCGGGACAGCCATTCCCATACAGCTTGATGGGAGGGTGGCAGCTTGGTCAGGCTCAGCTGCAGTACCTGTGTGCCCAGGTGTGTGTTCCATAGGCAAGTTGTACCTGGGAAGGGCATCAGCTTGAGGGGGCAGCAGGAGGTGGTAGGAAGCAGAGATGGTTACATGATGCTCAACGGAGTGCCGAGCATCCTCAGGTCGGGTCCACCTACGCCCACACCCATTCCAGTGAACCCTACACAGGCAGAAAGGAAGGAGGGCGGAGCTGGCTATGTCCGCTTCCGTGCGTCTTGCATTTGGGGCTGTAGGTCCACATCACCTATGAAACACATATGCTTCTCTAAGTGCTCTTCAGCTTCATACTGCCAGGGCAAGCTAGGACCACAAAGAGGATCTGAGAAGAAAGTCACTTGTCCACCTGGGTCCCTCGCTAATGTGGGTTTGGGATCCCAGGCTTTGTAGCGTCCACTCAGAAAACAGCACTAACCCTGCTCTGTTTCTGTCCTTGCTAGAGGTGGTGACCATCGAGTGGAGCTGTACAAGGTAAGTGCCATAGCCAGAAATCAGTGCGTGGGCTCTGGGTGGCAAGAGCAGGGCTTGCTAGGTGGCAATGCCGTGAGCAGGGCCCAGCTGGTCTACCTTGAGGGGTGGCCTCCCGGGTCAGAGTGCACACCTGGTGGACCATCTGTCTCCCAACCACTGCAGAGCATGTGGGGAGCCTTTAAAGGTCTCCTTAAAGGTGACATTCCTCATACGTGAGAGGAGAAAACCTGGTGCTCTGGCAGTTGCCTTTGCTGCCAAGTGCAGGCTCGTCTTGGGAGCAGTGGTGGCTTGGCTCAGGTGCCAGGCAGACTTGATGGAGACTTCCCACAGTCTGCCCTAGTGTAGGACACTCACCCTTGTGCCTGGGGTGAGTTCTTGACTGGGGTGTTGGGCCTTGGAGCTTTGGTACAGCATCCAGGGCTGCCGAAGCCTGTCTCCTTCTCTTGAGGGCTCCTGCGTCTGTGTGCACAAAAGAGGGAGTGTGCAGTGGCAGGGCTCATCCTTCCCTGGCTTGGAGGAGTACCCCTTGGTAAATTGGATCAAGTCAAGAAAGTGGAGTGCCAGAGAAGTGCCAGGTTCCTCAACTTGCTGTGCCTGGAGGAGGCTGCAGCAGGTCTGGGCGCAGGTTCTGCAAGGCATTGGGTGCCCAGGCAGGTGCTTTCAGCTCTCTCCCATGGTTGTGGGCTGGTGTTGTGGACAGCACTTGGAGCCTCCTCAGCCTGAGCACAGGGCACAGGTATATAAAAACTAACATTGAGAAAAAATTCATCAAAAGCCAAACACCTGCTGGCTGCTACACCGCTGCAGCAAGAGCACTATGGGCTCCCCAACCCAGGTCTGCTATCATACTTGTTGGTTCAGCCCACTGGCAGCTGCACGCTGCCTGCCCCCAAATGCCCAGGTAGCTGCAGTGGGAGTGCAGTGCTGTCCAGAGACAGAGGAGCTGTGCTGGGCCCTCAGCTGTCCAAGCAGCAGCCAGTGCAGGTGGTCACTGGGCTGCCATCGAGCCTCTGTTACATCTCCACTGTGTGCAAGTCACAGGCCTAGAGCTCTGGATGGATGTCCCAAGAGGCTATCGTCAAAGGTGCTTGGGTGTGTTGCCAGACATGTTTTTTTCCTTTACAGGTGCTGAGTTCCCTTGGTTACCACGTGGTCACTTTTGACTATAGAGGTGAGGTTTCTTTCTAATCCTGCCTGAGGGATAGACTCACACTGAGGGCTTGGAGGAAGCCTGCAGCCTATTGTTGTTGTGCTGTGACGTATGAACTGGGAAGGGCTTGGGCGTTTTGATGAAGCCTCTGCTGGAGGGGAAGCTTAGGGCTGGGAGCCAGCCTGCCCTGTTTGCTCACAGCAAATGCTATCTTTTTTTCTTTTACTGGACTCAGACTTACCTCACACCTGGCCTCAGACATGTTGTATGGCCAGAAGTGGAGCTCATCTCATTACAGTGCTGAAAACAGGGAAAGAACTACCAAGAGGGAAGGCTGCTGTCCCGCCTGCTGCTGCTTTTATTGAGTGGATTGGCATTGTTACCTGGGTAGGCCAGAGCCTGCAGTTCAGTGTCTGCTGCAAACACTAGCTGGAGAGCAGCTGAAATACTTGTAGCAACAGTGAGCCATGTCTTTCTTTTGTTTGTTTGGTTTTGGTTTTGGTTTTCATAGTGTTTAGGGAGAAGCCTGCTTGACCAGCTTGCTTTATCTTCTGGGGGTGGACAATGGGTGAAATGCTACAGTCTAAGGTGGACAGAGGAGCGAGATTGCTGGCTGTAGCTGGGGTTGTATTAGTTTCCTTTGTTTCTGTAATGGATGACCAGAAACATGGCACTTAACACAGATTCATTACCTTGCAGTTCTGGGGGTCAGAAATCCGAAGTCTTCAGCTGCTGCGCTAGAATGGAGGTGTGAGCGAGGATTTGATCCTTGGGGTCTGTAGAGCGTGATACCTTGGCCTGTCCAGTTCAAGAGACTTCCTTGTCTCGAGGCCCCTTCTGAAGCTGAACTCAGATTTAGCATGTCCCATCTTGGGCTGTGTTGCTGTGGCCCCTGTTAATTCGATGCTGGAGACTAAAACTCAGGTCTTGCATATGGAAGACAAGCACTGTAGCCCTGGAGACACTCGCAACCCTATTTTTAGTTTGATGCAAGGTCTCACTATATTGCCCAGGCTGGCCTGAAATTTGTGGCTCCCGAGTAAGTGTGTATGGCATCACCCCCAGCCCAGACACTTAACTTTCTTTTCTCCTTTACTTATGCAGACCTTTGTAGTTCCTTGGGGCCACCCAGATGGTCTCCATTGTCCCTGCCTCTGGCTTGGCCCTTGTGCAAACTTCCATCCTTCTGCCATCTTAATTCTGCCAGTTCTGGGGTTAGAAGGTGGGGTCTTTGGGCCACTACCTTGCCCGTTCCAGGCTGTTTTGTTCTGTCAGGATGAAATCATGGCCCAGAAAACCACTCAGATGCGAAGCTGGAAGTGACTCATCCTCCCATCACCTGGCAGGGTCCCAGGAGGGTGCTGAAGCTGAGGTGAGGGATCCAGCCTACCCGACCTGGAGAGTAGATGGCAGTTTTGCTGGCTCCTGTCACAGAAAAAGAATTTTTAGACTGGTCAGAAAGAGGTGTGCCAGGGCTTCATTAGGCAGAAGTTCAAAGGTGTGCCCTCAAGCAGAGGGCAGACCCTTGAGAGGTGAAGCTCATTTCCCAGAGTATTTGCACTTTTCTTGAGGGGTGTCCACCTTCAGAAGTATACTGGCCCTATGGCAGGTGTATGCCCAGTGTGGTTTTTAGATGGATAATTTAAACATACTTTGGATTCTCTCCACTTGTCCTTTATCTTAGAATCAGGTTCCTGGTCTTCACATTTTCAGTCAGGCCAGTTCATGGACGTGCGATGCTTCTGAGGAATTCAGTGTGCGATGGATCCGGAAGGAAAGGAGGCTCAGTTAAGCAAGAGAGTACTGGTGTGGAAACTTTGGGGCCTGGACTGGTCCTGGAGCTTGCAGTTTTTAAAAATCACAGCGCTTTTTTTAGTTTTGACTTGGTCTCCTGGCCTTGTTTCTTTAGTCCTGCCCCCTGCTCTGCTCTTCCACCGCAAGCCACATGTTCACGCAATGCAGAGTGCCTTCTCTGCCCTCCTGTTCCATGTTCCCAGATGGGGTCCTCTGTCCCTTTCTCATCAAGTCTATACCGCTGAGCAACATGTGAAGCCCAGCTCCACCCGTCTCTGTCCCCCTTTCTGTCCCAGCCTGGTATCCCCTTCCTATCTTTCTCTGACTCCTTTTTCTGTCTCCATCTTCCTGTGCCCTTGTCCACCACAGGTGCCTGGAGCCTTCCCAGGCCCTATCTTCCTCCTCCTCTGGGCTCTCTGAGGCAGGGTAGCAGCCTGTCCTGTCCTGCACACTCACTGCATAGTTTGCTTATGCAGCAGAGCCAGCTCGAACCTTGCACTCAAGTCGTTTGACGACGACTCATAGTTGAGCAGCTAGAAAGACAGTGGCATGTGCCCTCTGCTGAGCCTGTGGAACGTTTGGGCCCATCAGCACTGCCTTGAGCTGGATATCTGCCTTCTGTGGGCCCTAGGCAGGCTGTGCTCCTGTTGGTTGGCCTGCCAACTCCTTGGCTATCCCTGCCAGGCCTTGGGGCTGGAGGTGTGTCTGGGGTTCTGGGGTTATTTAATCACCTCTGTTCTGTTAGTCACTAATCAGGTGTGCAGTCTACCCCTTGGAGTACCCAGGACTGGCTGGTTTATCCATACCATGGAGGAAAGGCTGGGTGACCCCCAGATCTTTCCCTGCCTTCTCCAGTGTTGGAGGGGAAGTGGGGTGCTGAACCACAGCCTCTGCTGTCACTGGCCTGGTTCCCTGAATTGCCTTGAACTTCTATCCTGCAGGTTGGGGTGACTCAGTAGGAACGCCATCGGAGCGGGGCATGACCTATGATGCACTCCATGTTTTTGACTGGATCAAAGCAAGAAGTGGCGATAACCCTGTGTACATATGGGGCCATTCCCTGGGCACTGGGTAAGAGCCTGGCCAGGAAGAGCACTTGAGCAGGCCTCCTGGGTGATGCCCTAACCCAGAGGGTACCTGCTGCCTTGAACCTGGAGTGAGTCACACCCTGCAGGGCTGGGTGACAGGAGGTCCATGGGTCAGGCTGCTATGAGGTCTTGTCCAAGGTGTGCCTGAGGACTGACTGTGCAGGCAAGGTAAGGGTGAATGTCAGGTTGCAGAGAGTGTGCCACACGCAACAGGGAAGGTACCTGTGGGCTTTGTGTCAGACCTGATTCTGGAGACCCAAGTACAGCCCATCAGCCCGAGGGGCAGAGCACCGCTGTGTACAGGTCATTTTGCCACCTGTCTCTCAGCAATATGGTGGACCCACTCCTCCTGTGTGCCACGGCAGAACGTGTTATAATGTGCCAGGCACAGACAGCCTGCATGTTCTATGATGGGACACCCACGATGGTCTTTAGAGCCCCCTCCCCCTGAGGGCTACCCCGTTTTCTACTTCCTTTTCCCATGGGCAGCAGAGTCGAATTCCTCAGCCTGCTTCTTGACTGGAGTCCAGGAGTATCTGGCTGGGCCCCTGCCTCTGGTGAGGAAGTGGGCAGCGTGACCAGGAGAGGCCCTGTGGAGAGACACTGCTTGTGCTTGCAACTGTGTACACAGAACCTGCCAGGCAAGGCCCTGGATGAAGGGCAGAGGTCCTGGTGCCTGGTGGGTATCAAGTGCTGCCACCTTGCCCTGGAGGCCTCCAGGTGGACCCCAACCTCCACTAGCTAGTCAGCAGCTCCAGAGCCCCTGGCCAGGGTTATTGAGGACAACTCTGGTCAAGATTCAGCAGAACTGTATTTTGTTTTTGTTTCACTGTTGTTTTATTTTAACAACACTGCATTTTCCTTTCTTCCCAGAGTGGCAACGAATCTGGTGCGGAGGCTCTGTGAGCGAGGTAAGGCAGCAGCAGTTCCCTGCCAGACGCCCCTCGGGTGCTGGGCAGAGCTGTGGCAGCACATGGGTGCCCGGGCCTCTCACAGCCGCTTCAGTCTCCCAGGCCTTTCTGGTTTTTTTTTATTTACCTAGAGACACCTCCAGATGCCCTTATATTGGAATCTCCATTCACTAATATTCGAGAAGAAGCAAAGAGCCATCCATTTTCAGTGGCAAGTATAGGTTTTTTGAAAACTAATCCATTTTTATTATTAAATAATTAATATAAAAATAAGTGCAAGAAGACAGTTCCAAATTATTGTAAGAAGTATAAATATTCAAATGAATACAGATTTTACTTAAAACAATTTGGTTGTAGACACTTGGGGTCCTGGACCCAACCACAAGCAGTGGATTTCTCACCTGCAGAACTTCCTAAAAGTCGGTAACTTTACACTAATGTAGGAAGAGCTCCTCCAGGGCCATGTCGGGGAGCTGGGCTTCCTCACCAGGGCATCTCTGCTTGTGGCTCCCTCCCTGGGTGGAGCCAGGGTCCTGCCCTGGCAGCCTGCCCTTCCAGTCTCGAAGGTGAAGCCCAAGATATTGCCGATGGGGGCCCCAGCAGAGCCAGTCCTGCAGCCTGACTGTTACATTCATCCGGTGTGGGTCCTGGCCTGCTGTGTGTTCTGAGTCCTCTGTAAAGCCAGGAATCCTTTACTTTGTCTTAGGTTTTTGCCATTGGTTGTCTCTGACACAGTGTTAGACCAGACCAGGTCCCCCACTTCCCTAGGGATGGGGACCTTGCATCTGTGGCACTGTTTCCCAGCTGAACTCTGGCCACAGAGTTGGCTGTTGGGGGAGGGAGCTTGGCCACAGCTGCCTGCTGCCCAGACTCTGGCAGGGTGCAGTGTGAACCGACCCTGGGTTCCTGGACTGACACGGCGTGTATAACCTGCCCAGGGCCTGGTTAAACACACCCCTCTGGTCTGCAGGTGTATCGCTACTTCCCTGGGTTTGACTGGTTCTTCCTGGACCCCATCACCAGCAGTGGAATTAAATTTGCCAATGATGAGAAGTAAGTATGTCGGCTGAGTGGCACTGAGCCCAAACAAGAGCTGTGTGTCATCAGATCCAGCCAGGCTGGGGCACAGGACACCCAGCTTGAAGTGGGGAGGGTCCAGCAGAGAACTGCAATGTGAGGAAAATGAAACTTTCAAGCTAAACTTTCAACTTAAAAGCTATATTAAGATAACTTTTTTGTTAACACTACTGACTTTTTCCTAAATAGTCATCTAAACCAAGACTCCTGGACAGGTGTTAAAGCAGTAGTTACTCAAAAAACAACTGCTTGGTTAGGTGTGGTGGCACATGCCTGTGATCCCAGCATTCAAGAGGTTGAGGCAGGAGGATCCCAAGTTCAACGCCATCCTGAACTACACAGCAAAAAATGATCTTAAAAAAAAAAAATCCTGCTTCAGCCATTGATTGTGTGTTTGGTTACAGAAACACACTATAAAGTTTTATTTAAAATATTGCTTTAGGTAAACCTAATATTTACCTATTAAGGACTCTTTTACTGATACTGTCTTTGTGTTACTTTATTTCATGGATTTTTAATTTCTCCAAAAAAAGAGAAAAAATAATCTTTATTCAGTTAACATTTCACAGTCTATACTATAAGCAAAAATCCCTGCTTGTTTATAATATGGTTTGGGAATCTAAGAATTCTCTGAATAAGCCAAATTTCTTGCTTAACAAACAAAAGCAAGCGCCAGGGCTGCGAGGCTGACTAGACACCTACCTGGGTGTGCAGGGCAGTGGCAGGTGGGCAGCATAGCCTTGCAGTGCCCAAGGGCTGAAGAGAAGAAAGCTTGAACTCTGCTGGTGGCTCCACACCCAGGAGACCACAGGCCCTGCTCCTGGGAGCACACAACCCTGCTGGGGCCCAGAGAGATCTAAACAGCCACTGCAGAGCAGGGCACAGGGAGCCTGGGCCAGCCCGGCATGCAGCCTATGCCATGTGAGGCCATGTTAAGGCTGTGAGGAAGTATTAGCGACGTCTAAGCAGGTCACTTTCAGTGTTACATCAAAGATAAATCAGTAGCTGGGAATGTACCACCGTGTCTGGTTTGAACTTTTTAAAGACTATGTCATAGCAAAAATAATCATTTTCAGCAGGAAATAGGCGAGGGCTGGATTTTGGAGCATGAACTGCTCTCTAGATTTTGTTCATACCTTTATCCCTAGTAAAAAGAGACCCGGTGTGGGGAGCACATCATGTGCCAGACCTGCCTTGGGTGAAGGGTCCATCCAGGTGGATACCTGCCCTCAGCCTGGCTCTACTTCCCCTGCCTTCCACAGTGTGAAGCACATCTCCTGCCCCCTGCTTATCCTGCACGCAGAGGATGACCCGGTCGTACCCTTCCAGCTTGGCAGAAAGGTGGGCATCATGGTGGTGTCGGTGGCAGGGACACCTCCAGGCTTCTTGAGAAAGTCACACGGGTGGTCTGGAAAAGGACCAGGCCAGCCACACTGCCCTCATTGGCCATGAGAGGAACCAGGAAAAAGAAGCACATCTCAGGCCTGTAGTCTTAGCGTCAGGAGGCTGAGGCAAAAGGGAGGCAGCATAGTGAGGCCAGGCTGGGCTGCGTAGCAAGTTTAAACCACAAGAAACCAAAATAACAAGCGCATGGGTCCCAGGTCCCCACAGCTGGGTCATCCTTGGGGTGCCTGGGATTAGGCTGGTGAAGAGTTATGGGGGCCTCAGTATTTGACTTTGTTGCCCAGAAGTAGGACTAGACTCACGAGGAGGCTGGTGTGCAGGGGCTGAGTGTGTTGCTTCCCTCTGGAGCTGCCCAGGCATGCCCCACAGGGCATAGTGCTACGCTAGAGGACAGAGCTGCCCAGCAGTGCATAGCTGGTCTCCCCTGGGCCATAGATGACAGGCAGCCTGACCTGGACTTGGGGAGGCCACTGCCGGCTGCCTCAGCCACACAAAGGTGTCCTTGTCCTGGAGGAAGGGCAGTCTGAGAATGGGGCTTGCTGAGGACACACCTGGGGTACCCTGAGCCCTAACTTGAAGGGCTACATCGCAAAAACCCTGCACGGCAGAGCTGGGGCTGTACCCAGCTTGACAGCCATGGAAGCAGCCATGAATTGGCCTCCAGGGAAGGGGAGGCCCAAGTCGCCCCTACCTGCATGGGGTGCCCCTGTGCACTGACAGGTTTTTCCTCCCCAGCTCTATAACATTGCTGCACCATCGCGAAGTTTCCGTGACTTCAAAGTGCAGTTTGTCCCTTTCCATTCGGACCTTGGCTACAGGCACAAATACATCTATAAGAGCCCGGAGCTGCCACGAATACTAAGGTGAGGCTGTGCCTTCTCCCTGGGGACCTGGGTTGGGCAGCAGCTTCACAGCTAGGTTACGTGGGAGGGCTTCGGGGGCTCTGATTCCAAGATACCCTCACGGAGAGCAGAGTCCTGGGAGCAGGTGGGTGGGTGCCTCAGTTTCCAGACCCACAAGTACAGGACAGGAGAGCACGGATGCCCCCAGCTTAGTTGTTGCCCTGCACGCAACCCTTCCAAAGGATTTTTGGCCCCTTTGCTCTTCGAAGGGGGAATGAGTTCCTGACTAGCCAGAACCCTGGGCAGCATGAGGGCTGCAGCCCCAAGAGCCAGGGGCATGAGGGTGGCTCAGGCCAGAGCAGGGGCGGTTGCAGCAGGAGCCTTTCCCAGCCTCCCACAGATCCCCACTCTCTTGCCTCTCCTCCCTCCTGCCCATCCTTCAGCACCGCCACTGCCTGAGCCAGTGAAGCAGTGGGGTCTCCATGTACCCGCTTTCAGCAGGTGGCTGCACCCCTTCCTTGTATCAGTGTGGGGGGCAGATCTGGGTCACTGGCAAGATCGCCCCCCACCTGGCAAGCTATACTTTGGGATCTTGGTGGCCTCATTTTCAGCTTAACTTCTCAAGGGCTGGTGTGTCCTCCCACTCATGGTCACCCTCCTTTGGCCTAGGGACTTCCTGGGGAAATCAGAACCCGAACGCCAGCACTGAGCCGCCGCCCCCGAGGAGCATGAAGCCTGACTGACTGACTGCCACCTCCTGGCCCAGCAGCAGCGCTGGGGACAGCGCCACACACACCCAAGGGGGACCCGCGCGGGTGCCGCGGGTACGGGTTGCAGGCGGGCCGTGGAGGTGGAAATGTGGTCTCTGCTGCACACACTGCTGCTGGTCAGCCCTCCCCACATGGCCCAGGGCTGCACTCCCCATCCCTCCACCCATGCAGCCTGGTGTAGACTGACCAGTTATTTAAGAATAAAATCCTGGTGGTCATAGTCCATCCTGCTCTGCTATCTGGAACCACCTCAGTGGAGCTCGAATCACCCACTGCACCTGTCCCTAGGGCCTTTGGGCGCACCCTGCCCATGTTTGGATGCCCCAGCAGGGCCCCACCCACAGCCCCGGAACTCCATGGGCTGCAGCCTGGTAGGAAAAAGGCCCCAGGAAAGCTTTAGCTTTCTTGGCAGCCCAGCCTGGCTGAGCTGATGGTATCTCTCCAAGATGTGGCAGACCTGGACAGACCTTTCCTGGGATAGGGCCAAAGGACAGACCCCAGCTGTTCCAGGAAGGCCTTGGCTCTGATCTCAGGTGGTGGAGATGGTTTGGGCAGTCTTGGGTGTTAGGTCCTCTGGACTGGCCTCTTCTGGGCCTGGCATCTCATGGTCTTGGGCCCAGCAGTACACATGTAGGGCCACCAACATCCCTTCTGCCCCCAGGTGCCATAGGAAGGCTTAGATCTAGTCTGCCAGATGCCCTGGGGTAGCTGAAACATGGCTGAACTCAGCTTGGCAGTGTCACCCATGAGGGCAGAGGTGACAGGTGTGCACATAGCAAAATTCTGAGAATAGACTGGATTTGAACTGAGTGCTCCAACACAGTGCAACCAGATTTTGAATTTCAGATCCTTTGACAAATTCCACAATCAATTTGTGGGCTGGACAAATTTTTAGGAAATGGTCTGGACCCAAGGTGTGAGCAGGTGGCAGCTTTGTGGCCCCTGTCTTACAGAGCCAAAGGACAAGGGTTCATGCCAGGACATCAGGATTCAGTGGGGTCCTTGCACAGTTTGCTGGCCCAGGGTCCAGGAGGTTCACAGTAACTCCCCACCATGCCATTAGTCCCTGCTGCCCCATCGCTAACCACAGCTACAGGTAATCAGGGAGACTGCTCGGGTTCAGGGAGCCAGGAATGGGCAATGGAGATGGCAGAGTCCATAAAGAGATCCAAGGAGTTTGCACTAGAAATGCAAATACTTTCCTCCTGTTGACTTTAAACAGGTAGCAGTCTGGAAACACCATGAGGATGAGTGACAACTTTCCATCTTTGGCCCCAGAATTGTGGAACGACACCCCCCCCGCCCCTCCCCCCCAGAAGCACTGTGTGCAGTGAAATGCAGAAGTCACACCAGCTGTGGGTACAAAGATTTAATCAGCTTCTCACAGGAGGCAGGAAACGTGCGTGCATGAAGTGTGTGGGCACGCACAGGTCAGGGAGCAGGGCCTCTACACAGGCAGTAGGTGATCACAGCCCCAAAACTCCAGTGGTTCTGGCAAAGCTCTTCCGTTAGGAAGTACAGGAAGAGCCAGCCCCAGAGCCCAGCAGAGCTGCCAGAGTGGTATTCCACATTTCCAACCCACAAGGCATCAGATTACAGAAGGGAGGCTTTTACCTTCCCATGACTGTAAGTGAGCAGAAACGCACAATGCCCACCCCATCCCCCACTCATGCATCAGACCAGGCCACTATGGCGGCATATAGGAGATCCTGGCCTGGGTGTGTCTGGAAAGGCACCATGCCTGAAGCAGCACAGGTAGCTGTTTTCTGGGGTCAGTGGCTAAGCCACTTCCAGCCAGGCAGAGATTCCACATAGTCTCCCTCAAACACAGGCTGACCCTACATGAACAAGGGAAGGCTGCAGCTAGTTCCATGTACTTCTCGGGTTATTTTTTTCTCTTGAAAAATAAAAGGTGACCCTGTATGAGCCAGACATGTCTTGGCAGAGGTCCTTGCAGAGCCCCCCCCCCCCATGCTGTTCCCACCCACCCTGAGCCTGACGCACACGTGCCAGGACCGCAGTGAAAGGCCATGTGTGTGGCCCAGGGCAAGGACAGGCTGTGTGGAGATGATGCCCAAAGAGCTACCTCTAGTGGCCGCAGCTGTGGAAACAGGGCCCCAGGCTTCACCCAGGCCACATGTCCAGACTGCAAAATCAAGAGGCTTACAACTACAGATCTACGCTCACAGCAAGATTCATGCAAGGCTTGGGGGGTGGGGGGGCTCAGGCAGCTGCACTTCTTGCCCACCTTGTGGGGCTGCCTGTTCCACCCATGCTTCAAGCTCTGCTTTGCTTACGAAAAACCAGGAGGGTGTCAGCCTCCTGGGCACCTCCTTTCTTGGCCTTAACCTCAAAACCACCCCTTAGCCCCTGTGAGGAACACAGCGTGGAGAAAAGCAGAGGCCTCTGGTTGCTGACAAAGTGCCTGAATGCTGGCATGATATGCAAACACAGCCCTACAAAAACCTTGGCCCTGCCCAGAGGGATGCCTAGTCCTTAGGGATGTTGGGGGCTGGGATCTGCAAGTCAGAGGGCTCCACGCCCCAGATGTCCCGTGCATACTCAGTGATGGTCCGGTCACTAGAGAACTTGCCCGAGCAAGCGATGTTCCTAATAACCTTCTTGGTCCATTCCTTGGGGTTCTGCAGGAAAAGCACAGGCTGGTCAGTCTTGGGCACGTTAGAACTTTACGACTGTCTCCATCAAACTCTGAGCCCTGGCGAAGTATGGTGAAGAGGGGTCCCACAGACTATGACCTATTGCCACTAGAGACATAATCCAAGGACTTGGTGTCAGGACACAGGGCCTAAGGAAGCTCCCACCCCTTGCAGCTTGTGTTCCACAGAGCAGTGCACAGCCCCAGATAAGCTCTACCAGACAACATGGCGCAGGTAGACACAACACATGTGGGACAGGTGAAGAGCCTCCTACATTAAGGGTTCAGCCACCACGGCTTCCCCCATGTAGCTGTGCCCATGTAGCTAGCTGTCCTGCCTCCCATCAACTGGAGGAAGGGCATCCCCAAAAGGGCAAAGTCCTGTGGGACAAGTGAATGCTCTGTTTGTGGGGGGTCCTCCCAGAGCCCCACAGTGGTAAGACAAGAAGTGATGGCACACCAGTGACTTATTAATGTCACGGGTATGGAATCCTAAGCCTCTCTGGCCAAAGACCTGCTTCACCAGGCTGAGAAATGAAGTCTGGTTCCAGCTCCTGCCCTGACCCCACTCTTACAGCCACAGCCCATGAGCCTCACCTGGTACAGCTGGTCAACCTGTGCCTGGCACTGCACATATGCTTCATAGTCTGCAAATACCTTGAACCTGGACAGGGACAGAACAGTAGGCAGATGGTAGACAACAGTGACCCTGGCCAGGCAGCCTGTTCTGTGGACCCAAAGACGGTCCACACCAAGAGGTCACCACACACCAAGCCCTGCCCCTTGTGGGGGCCAGGCTGCACCAGGTACATCTGGTTACAGGGTGTCTTACCCAAGTCACATTCCAACCTAGGATGCCCCTAGGGAAAATTATCAGGGCAGAGCCCACAGGCTATGGGGCTGCACAGGCCCAGGGCCCAAGCAGTCTGCTGCAATCCCCCAGCTGTTGCAATTCCTGATGTTCAGGACAGAAATGTAGGCGTTACAGGTACAGAGATGCAGTACAAGTACAGAGATACATTTCTGTTACTGTGGTACCAGATGGGGCACGTTCACCAGTCTCCTTCACAGGCCTTGGCAGGGGCAGCCTGGCCCAACTGAAGCCGCAGGTGACCCATAGTCAGAGGTGACCAGAGGGCAGCAGCAGGAAGGCAGCAACCTCACCCATCCAGAGCAACTTTTAGCCACAGGGAGGCACAAGTGATGTGCCCGGCCCCTCATGCAGCCAGAGACCATGCTGTCTGACCACGCGTTAACTGCACTGTGTTACCCGTTAGTTGCACTTCAACCTGGGAAGACCCCTCCACCACCTGGCCAGTTTCCACTGCCCCTGAGCTGCTTCTCCAGCCCTCCTGAGATCACACGGCCTCAGGGTCTCCAGCACACTGACCTCACTCCATAGTCTGGCCCTTGCCACGGACAGCCACCACTCTTCTGGCTGGGCCCCAGATCCTGTGGGCCAAGGTGCAGGGGCTTCCCCTCCCAACCCACCCAGTGGCCCAGGTCTGTCCCAGGGTGGGGATGGGTACAGCGTGTGGCAGGGACCCCACCTGTCATGATACATCAGCATGTTGACCACATCCTTGAAGCACTCTGGGTTCTTGGGAGAAAAGAAGCCACTGCTGATCTGGTCCACAGCCTGCCTCAGCTCAGGCAGGCGCTCATAATACTCCCTGGCATTGTACCTGCAGGGAGATGGGCCACTTAGCACCTTAGCAGTGACCCACAGCCAGGGCTTGCCCACAGGGAGGACCCAGGGACTCTGCCATAGACGTGGGCCCACAAACAGGCCCAAAGTGGCTGAAAAGCAGCTGCTTCATGCTAGTGGGGGTCATGCCACTGACCCTGTTTCTGGGCAGGTGCTGATCCCGCCCAGCTTGGCCCTGCCCGCAGCATGCCATGCACCCTGGTGCACAGAGGGGACACACACCCTTTTTGGTCCAGGGCCTCGACCTCCTCCACCCGCAGGCCAAAGATAAAGAGATTCTCAGGGCCTGCCTCCTCAGCCATCTCCACGTTGGCGCCATCCATGGTGCCAATGGTGAGTGCCCCGTTGAGCATGAACTTCATGTTGCCGGTGCCCGAGGCCTCGGTGCCCGCAGTGGAGATCTGCTGTGACAGGTCAGCGGCCGGGATCACTGCAGGCAGGAGGCAGATCAGCCCAGCCTCACCTTCCCCTTCTGTTCATTCCCTCCTCCGGCCCCTCAGCAATGATCCTAGACAACCAGTCCTTTATCCCTAAATGGCCACTGCCTTTGTAGGGCACCCCTCCTTGGTGGGGCTACAATTGAGGCAAGGTATACAATGCACTGACCTCAAGAAGCCCCCCTAAGTGGCCCAGCATTTTGCTTCTGGAACTTTCTCAAGATCTGCCTCCAGCCCAAGAGGAGCCTGGCACCAGGCATAGCACTGCCTACCCTACCCCTCCTGTCCACCCAGCAGGAGAGGCACAGGCCCCCATCCTACCTTTCTCAGCCAGGGACACCCGGTAGTTCTCTAGGAAGATTACTCGGAGCCTGTCGCCCACAATTGGATCATGATTGATGACACTGCCAATGGATGTGACCAGCTTGATGATCATCTTGGCCATGTGGTAGCCGGGAGCTGCCTGCAGGGGGAAGCAATTGAGGGCTTTCTTGTGCAGCACACTGCCCAGGATCAACAGGGCCTGTGGGTTACTGCACCATGAGGGCTGCCCCGCCCTGAAGGCCAGCAGCAGTGTGGCTCATGAGCCCGAAGGCTGGATTCCACCTGGTGCTAGACAGCTGCCTCAGCATGGGACCTGCAACCTCCAAAGATGCTCCAATTCTGACCAGATACAACTGACTTACAGGAAATAGGAGCCCTATAGAACTTGCCACAACACACCTGGGGCATCCTCAGGAAAGCAGCCTGGGCTGGAAAATGACTCAGTTTCTACAACAAGTACACTGAAAAGGATAAAGAGGAGGAAGTGTGTGGGTAAGGAGAATTAGGAGATGCAGGTTCAAGGCAAGGGCCCTCCTCAGTGTGCAGATCCAAAGCTGAAAGTACTAGTGGGGCTGCGGGCATGCTGGGGGCAGAGTACCTGCCTCCAGTGTGTGGGCCGTGGGCTCATGCCCAGCACTGCAGAAAAAAACTGAACTTTTTTCCACGGCCCGCTACTCTCAGCTACTGGGAAGGCTGAGGTGGAAGAAGCCCTTGGTCCCTTGAGCCCAGAATTTTGAAGCTAGCCTGGGCAACACAGCAAGGCCTTCTTGAAAAGAAGAAAAAAAACACATTAGTACTTGTAGTTCTATTAGACGAGTGGGGCTGTGGTCCTTAGTGGACAGCCACTTCTGACAGGACAGGTTCTTGTCCACACTTAGGAGCAATGTGTATGTGGCCGTAAGGTGATGCCTAAGAAGCTAGATGCTTTGTTCTGGGGGATCATCACTGACAGTGGCAGAGACTCTCGCAGCTGGAACACCGTGCCCAGTGGACACTGGAGCTGGCTTCTGAGCAGGAGGCACTGAAAGGAGGAAGGTGCAGTCACTCACCTTGCCCCCAATCATCACTGTCCTGGGCACGAAGGCCTTGGCTGGGTCTTTCTTTATTCCTGTGGACAAAACAAGGGAGTCGCTCAAAACCTTATGGAAGCCAAACTGCCAAGGACCTGGAGGCCTGGGGTTTGAACAGGTGGCAGTAGCCCCTCTGGGGGCAAGGCTGCCCTCACTCTATCTCCATCCCCGGCAGTGAGCAGAGCCTGCAGGCCACAGTAGCCTGCCCAGCATCCGGAGCAGGCATGCTCCTGGCCAGGGGGCAAGGAGGCCAAGTGTGCTGGCCCAGGGCCATCAGTGCTGGCCATTGTTTCCTGAAGCCCTATGTATTAACAATATGATTTGAATGCGTGGGTTTGAGGCACAGAAGAGTACAGACCTGGGCAAGGCCTTGGCACCGTGGGTGTGACGTCATCAGCCTCAGGTGCCTGAGACCCTGACTGTCCCCACTGCCAGGTGACACAGTGTGTGCTGGGGAGGGGGGCAGCTTTAGGAGTAGTGGGACTCAGGAGGAAGGGAAGGGAGGTCGCTAGGGCAGAACCTTGGAGGGGACTCTGGAAACCCACCCTGCCTGTCTCTGCTTCCCATCTGCCAGGAGGTGGACAGCCTGCTCTCCAAGCCCATGCTGCCAGGATATACGACATGCCTGGGGGCCTCGGGAGGTGCTGCACAGCTAATGCAGCAGGGGTGTGCGCTCATGGTCCCCATGGTGGGTAGAGCTGCCTGCTGGGCCAGCTGCGCAAAGCTTATATCCTGAGAACCACATAGGCTAAGGCCCAACAGGCAGGCTTTTGGGGTGAGGGGCGACACAGGGAAACGGGGCTAAAGGGGTTTTAAAAAAATGCATGCAGGGCACCCAGCACGCTCCCCAACACGCCTCAGGGCCTGGCACAGGCATGGCCCTGGGTTCCACCCCAGCACAGGTGGTAAAATGTGCGTGTGGTTCAAGACACTTTCTTGAAATAGTACAGTAGGTAGTCAGAAGTGGCCATGGTCAACAGCAAGCAAGACACAGCTGTAAGAATAAGTCACCAATACACCTGGAAATGAACAAGGTGGCTCCAGCCCTCAGGACAGGGGTGCAGGGACTTAAGACATGCTGGAGGGGGTGGGAGGCATGATGACTGGCACCATCAGCCAGGGCCCTTCAGTCACATAGGCCAGTTGAGGGCTCAGGAAGGCCTCCCAGGGGCCCCAGCTGCAGTCGCTGGATACTTGGCCAGTAGGGTGGGCAGGGAGGGCAGAATACATGCAGATGAAGCCAACATCACGACAGATGGGAACGGGAAGAATGCAGAGGCTGCCTGGGTGCCCAGACAGTGGGGAATTGGACAAGGACATGCACACACCCACACATCCACATCCACATATACCTCACCCAAGGACACGTGTGTGTATGCTCACATTCATGCATGCGCTATACACGGACACACGTGTGCACACATCCCAAGCACATATCACATGCATGTGTGCATGCCTCAAATACACAAGGTCACATGCACATGTGTGTAAGCCCTACCTACACCATACACATGGATGCATGTACATAGGTGTGCATTCCCACATGGAAGCACATGTGACAGTGCAGGCAAAGGGTAGCCTGAGGCAGAAAGAATACAACTGCCTGATCCCCAAGGCAGCACTAAGGAGCTGAGGGGATGGAGCAGGATAAGGGAAAGGGAACTGCAGCCCTCACTGCTGCTCACATAGGACTTGCCGAGAGGACCATGAGACACTGGGAGGCAGAAGCCACCACACAGCCATCGGGCCCAGGCAGGGCTGCTCCCTCCCTCCTTAGAGCCCAGAGTCAAGTTTCTACAGCACCTCGCTTTGAAACATTGTATCACCCCAGACCTCTGAAAATCCAGTTCTTGACCAGGGTTTTGCTATCACCCCAGACCTCTGAAAATCCAGTTCTTGACCAGGGTTTTGCTAATTCACCAAGCAATGTTCACTGTTACTTTTTGTTATTTTTGGTTTTGTTTTTTTTGAAACAGTATCTTGCTATGTAGTCCAGGTTGGTCTTAAACTCAGCCTCCAGAGTGCTGGGATTACAGCTGTGTGTCACCAAGTACAGCTGTCACATTCACTTATTGGGGATTTCTGAGTCACATTTGCTCTCATAATTGTCCATAAGCAACTGTGGTGCTTTGAAAACTAACGGTCAACTTAGACACCAGCTGACCTGAATCTGCCTAGTGCTAGGTATGGAGGGCCACTTGACGACTGCTGTCAGCATAAAAAGGAGACCTGGAGACGAAGTCATTGTTTGGTGCCATTGGTTCTCTTGGAGGAGCTTGCAGAGCTTCTTTCCTGATATGAACTCAGCTGTTATCATTAGAGGAACTCAGGTCCTTGCTGTTGCTGAGAGTGGCTATGGTTCACTTTGGGGGAACATTGGTCCTTACTTTTAGCATTGCTTCTTGGCTCCGGAGGGAAAGATGTGTGCTCCTCAATCTCCAGGAGCTCATCATACTGGCTTCCTGATGTGAACTCTGTTGTTCTCATCTTTGGAGGAGCTCAGGACCTCATTGTTGCTGAGGATGGCTATGGTACTTTTCAGGGATCCTTTGTCCTTATTTGAGTGTGACTTCCTGCCTCCAGTGCAGATCTCTCAGCCTGCTGGCACGGATCCTTCACCCCACTGGTGCAGACTTTCTAGCTTCCACTGCTGACCTCTGGGCCTTCCCAGTGCAGATCTGTGACACACTGCATGAGTCACTGTCGTGGGCTCTTGGACTTCAGCTGAACCATGCAGGATACTGCCCAGGGATCCAGGCCCTCAGCTGGATTTTCTAGGTCCTTAGTGGGTGAACGGATTTCCTGTACTTTCTATTTGACTCCTTGGGTGACCATTATAAATAACACTATAAATTATATGTCCCATATAGTCTTGTTCTTGTGATCCCTGACTACAACAACAACTTAAATTTAACTAATACAACTCCATCTAACTACATTCAATGCCTCAACAAGCAAATTTTCTGAACAAGGTGAGTCACCAAGACCAATGCAAAAATTACATTGAATGTAAATGCTGCCTGGCAGCATGCCCAACCCGAGGCCTACACACAGGAGGAGTCACTGCTTGGGACGCCTGCCTGGTGCACACCAGACGTGGCTGAGGGGACTCACGGTTGTATAGGGTGATGACGTGCAGGCAGTTGAGCAGCTGCCGCTTGTACTCGTGGATGCGCTTCACGTGCACATCAAACATGGAGGCAGGGTTGATCTTCACCTTGTACTCCTTCTCCAGGAGGGCAGCAAACTTCAGCTTATTTTCCTGTGCGGAGCAAGGTGACAACTATGCTGTAAGCTCTGAGGTCCCTGGGTGCCCCACGGCCCACCCATCTTGGAGACAGCCCTGAGTGACCACTAGGGGTGGCCAGGGATAGCAGAAGTTAAGTACCTGGAGTCGAGCTGAGCAGGACAAGGGCACTAGGGGGTGAGGCAAGGACCACAGGAGAAAGAAGGTGAGGAGCCAGAAAGAGGGGACAGTGCCAACCCTGGAACTGAAATTAAGCTGCAGAAAGGCCAAGACAGCACCCTCATAGCCATGCCCTGTGACCCCCAGTCCCACCCTGTCTGGGAGCTCTTGGAGAATAAAGCTGGCTCAGCCCTTGGCCACTCCTAGAACAATTGGGATCATGCAGCTGTCCCTGCAGCCTGAGGACCCAGCCGAAAGTCAGGGACCTTCTGCAAAGCTGCAGCCTCACCCTGGACCTCAGGTCAACGTGAGCCCCTCCCCGGGGCTATTCACCAACCTGCTTGACCTGGGCCACATTCCTGATGAAGGCCTCATCGTTGACCAGCGGCAGCAGCTTCCGAAGCTGGCTGAGGTCTGTCACAAAGCCTTCCCCGATTCTCTGTGGGAGGAAAGGCTTTCTGCTCACTGCAGCTGAGCCTCTGCTGCCCGGGACCCACCCACCTCTCCAGCTTCCCAAAGGTCCCTCTGCACAGCCCCAGTGGGCCAAGGCCTAGCCCCTCATCTCAGTAGCTACCACAGAGTCCCTGCTCCTGACCTGAATACACAGTCTACATCCCCAAGCCATCACCTCAGTGGGGACCTTCCTGCTGCAGCTACCAGCCTTGCCCTACTCAGCCCCACCTGCAGCACGTGCCCGGCCCTCCCTGAGGTACATGGGGCCACTGTCCTGCCTAATGACTTCTCCCAGCATGGCCTATCCCTGATTCACAGCCCAGGGATCTGAGGTGCATCCTGGGTTGCTGCTGCTCACATTTAGACCTGGCCTCTTGTCCCAGGACCCAACCTGGCAATTTACCTCTATGATGACATCTGCCAGCCCTGGGTTGCACAGCAGCAGCCACCGGCGGGGGGTGATGCCATTGGTCTTGTTCTGGAACTTCTCTGGCTCCAGTTCATAGAAATCCTTAAAGCTATGAGCAGACAGAACTGTCAGGAATGCCAGCTTTGCCAAAGAACACAGGACCGTCCCAGGAAAGCCCCAGGGTATGACCACTAACCCTGCCCTCCCAGTGTGAGGATACAGCCACCTAGGAAGGTGATGGGGACAGCCAGGCCATGACCCTGGGGACTCCACAGGTTTCAGCCGTGGGCTGTTTCCTCAGTTGTGAGCTGGGGAAAAATCCAACTCCCAAGTCCACACTGGAGACCACAGAGCCCAGTGGGAGGCATAGAGCTGTCCATAGACTTCTCAGGCAGAGGATTCTAGCAGCCTCAACAGGTGAGAGGACGGGGGAAGGGAAGACTCCCGGGTCCCCACCCAACCTGACTGCTGCCACCCATCTGCCGCACATCCAGCCCTGACACCAGGTAGACGTCCGTCCCAGGCCTCCAGCCAGCAGCAGTGGACCAGGGTCATGAGGTCTGATGGGCACCCGTCTTTCCCGTCACCTCCCGCTTGGCAACCAGAGAGGTGGGACAGCGCACTGCACGTACACGGACTGCTTCACGATCTCTGAATGGATGCGTGCCACACCATTCACCGCATGCGACCCGATCACGCACAGGTGTGCCATGTTGATCCGCTTGCAGTCGCCCTCCTCAATCACGGACATCCTCCGCAGGCGCGCCACATCCCCGGGAAACAGGGCAGCTACATGCTGGGGCCCAGAGAGGGGTGGGGTTGAGATCCCCGGACCCAGGGCCTGTGCAACAGCTGGGCCAAGGGACGGGATCCCACTCCAGGCCTAGACCTGCACCCAGCAATGGGGCTCAGGCAGAGATGAACCATCCTGCTGACAGAGGACATAGGGTTCTCCACACCACCCAGAGGGACGGCCATGCCCAGGGGTGGTTACCTGCGCATGGGCACATACACACAAGCACACACACACACACACACACACACACACCCCACAGGCACAGCTACTCCTGTGCCTTGCACCCTGCAGCAATGATGAGGGACGGGTGGGGCTTCCGGCTGAGAACAGAGCAGAGTCAGGAGCAAGGCAGCAAAGTGCCACTCTGCAGCTGCTGGGCTATCACCTGCTGGGACCCACGCCCACCCCCGACAGGCAGTGCTCACGTCCAGATGCCTCTGGTTGATGGCGTAGATGATGTCCAGGTGCCGCGGCAGCAGCTTCTCAAATAGGGACACCGGCCAGCGCTCTAGGGCCTCAGGCAGTACCGTGTGGTTGGTGTATGCACAGGTCTTCTTGGTGATCTCCCAGGCCTGGTGGTACAGACCAGCAGGTTTACGCAGTGATGGGCAGTCCGGCACAGAGACAGCCCCACCCTGCCTGCTGACCCACACCTGCTCGGACACCCCCACCTGTGCCACAGGCTCACCTGCCTCTGTCCTCCTTGTGAATGGTTTTTACTGACAAACTAACAGACTTCTAAACAGTCAGCCACTGATATCCTTTAAATAGCCTGTTGGCCAGGACAGGGGAATCTACAACAGGACTACAAACATCTTGAGGTCAAAGAAGTGCTCTGGTCTCCAAGTAAAGTAAGAAATTGCGGGGCTGGGGATTTAGCTCAGCGGCATAAGTACCTGCCTTGCAAGCAGGCATTTGTGAGTTCGATCCCCGGTACCGATAAAAAGGAAAAAGACCAAAAAAAAAAAAAAGAAATTGCTTTGTGGCTGGGCTGGGTAGTACTTGCATGCAATCCAGCTACTCAGGAGGCTGAGGCAGGAGGATCAAACGTTTGAGCCTACGAAACTTAGCAGGAACCCATCTCATAAAAAAAAAAAAAGGTAGGGAAGTAATTCAGTGCAAAAGTCCTAGGTTCAATCTCTAGTACAGGATGAAAATGCTGTATAATTTTATAGGCTGACTTAGTTAAACATTTAAGAATCTAAAACCAGGTGGATTTGAAAAAAAAAATAGGACCAATGGAAATTGAGCCCCCCCCCCAAAAAAACCTACAAAAACTATGTATTTCTTTAAACTTCTGTATTCTCCAAACTATGAATTTCTTTACTAAACTTCAAGATGAGAAAACACACACAAGGAGCCCTAGAAAGTTCCCAAATCCTACCCCTACCCAACACTCTTGTGCTGTGTTGCTGTCCTATAGGTTGTCTATCCCTCCCCTGGAACCCTCCCCGCGTAGCGTGACACTCTCAAGGCTGACAGAGCTGCTGATGTCCCCAGATGTCCTGCGGTCAGGAGAGGGGACCTCCTTCCTGGGACTTCTCAGCCATCCATGTGGCTGGCACAGAAGCCAGAGGACAGCCCTGCCCTGGTCCACAGAGAACGCTGTCTCTACCTCTTGCTCACCTTGTCCCAGTCCACCTTTTCCACATCCACCAGGATCCGCATGAGCTCGGGGATGGAGAGGGCTGGGTGGGTATCATTCAACTGGATGGCCACCTGTGAGTCACATAGAGCTGCTCAGCAGCCTCACCCCTCGCAGGTATCCAATCCCAGCTGTAGAGGAGCTGGGCAGCCTGTCCTGCAGAGCCTGAGGCCCAAGATGCCCAAAGGGAGCTGAGAGGGGGCTTCTGACCCTGCAGCCAGCTGCAGCCTGGACAGAGTGACCTCCTCCCTACTATGTGGCAGCTTTGAGTGATGGCACACGGCCTTGGCTTGGGAGAGGCCCACCTTGCCTACCAGCAAGACTGCCTGTGGCTCCAAGCTGGAGGCCAGCCAGACAAGACAAACCTGGAGGCACAGGGGCCCTGCAGCCCACAGGACACGCGCCTATCCCCTCAGCTCACAAACCTTGTCAGGGAAGGTTTCGAAACTGGTCCTCACGGGGTCACGGCAGCCGAACTTGGAGGACTTAAAGCGGCGGATGATGTCCTGCAGAGTTGCAGCCACAACGAAGTATTCTTGCTTCAGCCGCAGCTCCTTACCCTCGAAGAACTGCAGACACAGGGCCACTGTGGTGCCAGCTCCACGGCAGGGAACTGAGGGGTCTGGTGGCCGCCTGCCCTGATCCTGGTCATCCCATCCCCACAGGTGGCCAGGTAACAGGCTGAGGTCGACCACTGTCTCACCCAGCTGCCCAATACCATCAGTACTCAGTGTTGCCTTTTAACAGAAGAGGTGAAGGTAACTGGTGCTCAAGCCTGCTTGACCAGCACCAAGGCCCCCCAGAGGCTGGGATGGGTGACAGGCTGCGCCCATCAGCACCAACCTCTGCTGACACACAGGTCATAGTGACAGAGTGCGACTCACACCTCCGAAGACACAGAGGCCCTAGGACCGCAAGCTGCGAGCCCAGGGCCTACACTACAGGTGAGAAACAAGCACTTGTGCTACACCTACCACAGAGGCCCATTGTATAGCAACAAAGAGCCACCAGACACTGAGACCACCAAGTGCAGACAGCAGCAGAGTCCAGCTGGGGCTGCCACCAAGCATATGGGGTGAGCTGAAACTTTCCCAGTGTCAGGGAACTGTGTCCCCACCAGAAGAGTGACCCAAGTTGACTTGAGACCAGGGCTCCCTGTACTTGCCCTTTGAGGAGCAGGTGGAAGGGGCAAATGCCTCTATGGCAGCTACCAGCCCACACTCAGAGAGAAGGCCCCAGCCACACAGCCCCCATACCCAGCCAGGAGAACTTGGCTCAGCTGCACTTGCAGCCCCCCAGAACAGGCTGGCAACCTGATGCAGCCTGCCCAGGTGCTACTCACATTGTCATTAGGGTACAGGACCCTGGAGATGTTCTCCGCCAGGTTCCGGTCCAGGACGGCCTGGACGTAGTCCCCCACGTTGACTGTGGAGATGGGGAGGGAAAGGCTGTGACCTCTGAAGGTCCCCAGAGCTTTGGCTGAGCCATTAAAGCAGCAGAGACCTCATCTCACCCTGAAGTCCCCTTCTCTTCCCTTTGGACCCCGGGGCCATAGGACTATACTCCCAATTCTCTTGGCCCATGGGAGGGTAGTGTGGGGATCAGGCAGCAGCTTGGCACCAGAGCCCAGGCTGCCCAGCTCTGAGGTAGGGATGGGGGTGGTAGGTTGGAGTGCCTGGGCAGTGGAGGGACGTACAGTCCTGCAGCCTGAAGTCATTGGGCGCCTTGGCAGACCACAGCCTCATGGTATTGACCGTGTTGTTCTTATAGCCGGGCACTGGAGTGTCATAGGGCATGGCGAGCACCACCTGGCCACAGGAACACGCATGGGGCACAGTCAGCAGGACCTACCACCCACCCGTACTGGGGCTACAGGGACAGGGGTACAGGCAGCCCAGTGGCAGCCTGGCCCTCAGTGCCCCAGTGCCCCAGGGGCAAGTCCTCTGAGGACGAGACCCACAAGAGCCAGCCTCCTGCACCCATGGGGCCCGTCAGCCCTGACCAGGGGCCAGACTGGGCACCCGCACCAACAGCACTGCTGTGGCCCTTCCCTTCCCAGCTCTGAGAGCCTGTCCACACGGGCCAGCCCTGCCCATCATGGCACTAACATCTGATGCTCTTCCTCAGACATCCAGTGACATGGGGCCTGAGTTGCCACTCAGGTCACATCTTGCGCTTAGCCTCACAAACACGCTGTAGGTCAGCACTGAGATGTGATAGCCAGGATGCCTGGCGCTGGCCACAGCCCACAAAGTCCCCAGGGACACAGTGCACCCACTAGCCATGGGCAGCAGCTCCCATGATGGGGACACTGTTGAGGCACATGGTGGGTATGAGGAGCAAGCCCGGCCCCAGCCATACCTGTGTGTCCAGCCACCGCACGCCCTCGGCCGTGTGCTCCACGCGCCCATAGAAGTGCACAGGCAGCATGTACTCAGGCCGGGCCTTCTCCCAAGGGTTGCCATAGCGCAGCCAGTCATCTGCCTCCTCCACCTGGGCAGCAAGAGGGGTCAAGATCAAACAGTGCCCAGCACTGGACAAAACCAGGCCCACTCACTGGTGATGCTTCTATGCCAGCTGAGCCCGGCTGCTGGAAAGTGAAGGTTCTGGGGCAGAACTCCAGGACGCAGAGGCAAGAGGTTCACAAGTTCCTGCCCAACATGGACAACTTAGGGACTTCACAAGATTGAGCCTCAAACCTAAAAAGCTGGGGACACAGCTCCCGTGCAGGCTCTCTAGCAGCCACTAGGCAGCACTGTGTGGCTCAGCATGGAGCTCATCCTGGATGCACAAGTGCTGGTCACCCCGTGCTGTAACAGAACCCTTTCCTGGCTCAGCAAAGCCATTACACAGAACCAAAATGAAGTACAGGAAAACAATCACTGCAGCCCACTGCTCTGAGAACGCAACACGGTGGGGTGCAACAGAGACAGTGCATGCTTTGTGTGTGCCCCAATACACACCCTCATACATACATGCTCAGCAGACAAAGGGGCACTGAGAAGCCATGAGTGCTGGGTCTGGTGCTCACAGGGACCAGGACAGTGCTGAACATAGTGCTCCCACCAGCTGACCACCAGAGAGCAGCACCGGCGGTGGCCATGCTGACAACAATACCCACCCCCACTGGGCACACTATGGACTTCACCCATGGGAGACATGAGCCAGGCCCGCACCAACCCAGACCCACCTCCACCAAGCCACATCTCCCTTACTGGCCACTCTGGTGCAGCACAAAATGGTCTCCCAGCCCACCCTGCTGCACATGACATTGAGGGACCCAGAGACCAGAAGCCATTCACCACCAAGCGCAGCAGTAGTGATTTCTGTGCCCAACAACACAGCTGCCATCCCCGGGAACAGCAACACTCCCCTAAAGGCCATGGACCCTCTGCAGCGATACCACTCCACCTCATGCGGCCCTGACCAGGTGGACATCAGGGCCCCTCTCCACATCACATCACACCTCGTCTGGCCAGGGCTCCATGCTTTAATGCCACAGCTGACACCTCCCAGCCTCGCATTCCTTGGGAGTCCAGCCTTTGGTCACACTAGAAGTTGCCCCCTCATATCAAGGCCAAAGGCCCAAGATAGGGACAAAAGGATCATGGCCACTCCTCAAGCTACCCAGCCCATCATTTGGCCCCATATCTGGCCTCAGAGTATACACCCTGCATCCAGTGTGCCTCTCATTTGCAGTCAGGTGCCACTGGGCTCCTGTGTCCACCCCCAACACATCCCTCACCACCCCAACAGTTGCTGCCAAGGGCTCCCCCGGGACCAGCCTAGCCTGGCCACATGGAAGAAGTGCTGCCGGCTGCCACCTGAGGACAGGCGAAAGTCCTGATGAGTCACCTACCTGCCAGCCATCCACGATCTTCTGGTTGAAAATCCCAAATTCGTAGCGGATCCCATAGCCGTATGCTGCCAGACCCAAGGTGGCCATCGAATCGAGGAAACAGGCTGATAAATACACACAGAGCCCAGGTGGTTAGCACAGCGGGCCAGGGTCTGCTTGATGCACCTACCACACAGGATGCAGCAAGGGCGCCACGGGCCCAACCGGGACCCTAGACTTCAGTGGACTCCAGGGGCTGGACTCTCTCAGTGAGGAAAGGAATGTGCACAAGGGCAGTGGCAAGGTGGGGATGACCTAGCCCACACAGGGGACAAGGGATGAGGTCGTGGGCCTCTCCCAGTCTCTTGGAGGAGAGTGTGGGGGACACACATGGGCTGGGGACAGGTAAGAGAAAGATTTTCTTTACTTAAATCTGTGTGTCCTGAGAGAACACACTGTATTTGGAACTCTCGAAGAACTTACAACTGAAAACAAAACTGTGAGGTCCATTTAGGGCCCATACATGGTGACTGGGACTCAAGCAGGGGGCAGCCACTCCACTGTTCCCAGCATGGCACAAACTCAAACCACAACTTCCGCCACACCCTCAGCCCCACTCCTTGTCCCAGCAAAAAGGGGTTACAGCAGAAAAATCACCAGGCAGCTCCCCACCAGACTGCGCTTGCAGAGCACTGCCCTAGACTCATTGGGAAGCCACAGCTGCACTCATGCTGGGCCACATCCTTGGCCACACCTGCCCACAGCCCTGCGTCTGCACCCAGCCCTCCACACCAGCATCCCAGGCACTGGCCAGCTCCATCTCCATGGCACAGTGGGGCCCCGTGGTCACCTGCCAGGCGTCCCAGGCCTCCGTTACCCAGGCCGGCGTCCTCCTCAATCTCCTCCAGCTCTTCCAGATCCAGCCCCAGCTGCAGACACAAAGGTGACCACTGAGCAGCTTGTACCCAACAACAGATCAAGAAACGTTTAAGTCTCATGGACATAGAGTATAACCAAGAGTCTGCTTCTCTTCTCTTGAAAATCCAATGTTAAACCTTGACATTAAGTCAATGCCCAGAAAGTTTTCAGGTAATCCAAAACTGCTAATTTAGCAGTCAAAATCAGACACGGTTTATGAGCTAAATGTATGCACTGTCAGGTCACTCAGCTATTAATAGTAACATGTGATTGTAACATGTGGCCTCAGTATGAGCCCAGTAGTTTGAAAGTTTTGGGGTTTTTTTTGTGGGGGGCCAGGGTTGAGATAGTCACTTTACAGCCCAGGCTGGCTTTGAACGTGCAGACATCCTCCTGCCTCGAGCTCCCCAGTGCTGCAATTACAGGTGTGTATCACCATGCCCAGCAAAATAACTGCATTTTATAAAAAACAAAACATCACTGGGACAAGTGGCATTGTTTTACATTTTTACAGATCTCTTTCCAGGGGTACTCTACTCAGTGTTCTGCCTCTTGTAGCACTGCGCAATTCATCACACGGCTCTTGGAAAACTCCAGTCCACTCATGAGACAGAAGACTTGAAAAGGGCCAAAGACACCCATGAATTGGAAACCAGTGCTGGCTAGGCATCGTGGTGCAGGCCTATAATCCCAGCATTTGAGAGGCTAAGGCAGGAAAGTCACTGGGAGGTCAAGGCCAGCCTGAACTACATAGCAAGAACCTGCCTCAAACAAACAAGGAAAAAAAAAAGAAACCAGTTCTGGCCTAATGGCCCAGATCCATTTAAAACCTGATGTATTATGTGAGGTAAAAAGCAGTGTCATGAAAAACAGATGGTTTAGTGTGTAAGAAGCAAATGGAACCAACTGCAAAACAGTATATGTGACTCATGCCGAATTCCCAAAGAAACTTCCTGGGGCTGGTAATTGAACTCAGGGTCTTCACATCGAGCTGCATCCCCAGCCATTTTTAGTTCTTAAGATAGGGTCTCACTAAGTTGTCCAACAGGGACTCAAACTTGTAACCCTCCCGCCTCAGCCTCCTTCAGCACTGGATTACAGGAGGGTGTCACTGTGCTCAGCTCCTTTGACAATTTTAATTTTTTTTTTTTTTTTTTTTTTTTTTGAGACAGGGTGTCACTAAATAGTACAGGCTGGCTTTGTACTCATGCAGGATCCTCCTGCCTCAGCCTCCCAAGTGCAGCGATTATGGGTATGTACCACAATGCCACGCCTTTGTCCATTTTTGAAGTGGCTGCTCTGTCTTGTTTTGTCAAGTTCTGGGCTATTTACACATTTTGGACACCAGACCATGTCACACATCCTGTTTTGGAGGCAGGATCTGCAGTGACCAAGGTTAGGAAGAGATTACAGTCTGTGCAAGGGCTTGACAATGTGACTGTCCTTATCTTCTCGAGAGGCCAATGAAGACCCCTGCTACCCAGGGCTGGCTCAGGTAACCAGAACACCAGGACAGTGGTGCTGGAAGCCCAGCAAGATCAGGTGTGACTTTTCCAGCTGCCCCTTATGAGTGGGGACCAGCACTCAGCAGGGCAGGCATGCTTCCAGCCCACAGGGGGCACTGCCATCTCCATCCCCACCAGCTCCTCAGTGGGCTGGGCCAGTTGCCATAGCCCTAGCACCAGCCCTTGCATCCAGGAGCCCAGCTACCAAGGCTGTGATTGGGACAGCCTGGTCCTCAGGAAAACCTCTCAGCCCCAAGAGTGCTAGGCCTGCAAGGGAAGTAACTTGTAAGAAAGAAACAGGCCACACTGCAGAGTATGTGCCAGGCTATCCCTTCCTGGTTTCTGTCATGCACACACTGACAAAATCACAATCAGACACCGTATGTTACAGTGTACCCAGTCAGTCCCAAGTCCTCCTTACTCATAAGAACTGGGTAAGAGAATGTTTGCAAAAATACAGGCTTCCTACAGCTGGAAATCTACATGAGGCCCTGCCGTGCTGCGCTCCCAGACACAGCCTGGAACTGGCGTCCAGTCCAGGGACAGGACTAAGGCAGTCACCTCCAGGACCTCTTGTCACCTCAAGTGGAGCACAGAACCATAAATGAGTTACACAATTCCTGACCAGGCCCTGGGCGAGAACCTGGAGGAGGTGGGGTCCCCAAGGCCCAACTACCCCATGGCCACACAGGTATTATGTCCCAAAGTCCCCCAGTACCCCCTAATTCAACCACTGAGAGGAAGGCAGGGTAGGGCACGGGGCCCTGCACCCTCTAAACCAGGCCCAACCAATGGGGTGAGGCAGTGGAACAGGTCCCTTCAGCTCTCCCCTGGCCTGAGGTGGTGTGGCAAGGGGCCCTCTGTGGATGGCTCACCCCGGTGTCTGGGGGCCCTACCTGATAGATGGCTTCATCACACGCACTCTGCAGGCCCAGGTTCACCATAGTGTTCTGCAGTGTACGGCCCATGTAGAACTCCAGGGAAAGGTAGTAGATGCGCTACATGGGAGAGAGACTTGGCTTCACTTCCAGGACAGCAGAGGGGATTGGTTCGAGCCCTGGGGAGTCTGGATGGCCTCATGGCTGGGAACTGGTGGACCCAGGAAGAGTATGGCCTGGCCTGGAGAGGGATAGCAACTCCTTTCACCCCAATGGGTGGTGACCTGGAGGGTAGGTAGAGGGTTGTGTCCTGAAAACCAGGACCAGGACAGCATGAAGGACGTGGTGGGCTCATGCCATGTCAACCAACTTCTCCACGGCGTGAAGAATGAGGTGGGGTCACAGAGAATCCAGGGAGTTTGAGGAAGAGCAAGGTGAGTGAACGTGGGATGCTGCAGGGAGGGATGTGCACCCAGCAGTGGCACTATATAGTCCTGCTTCTGAGCTCTCAAGAGGCAACAATGGAGCACACACTATGTGTCTGAGACCAAGCCAGCACCAAGGAAAAGGCACAGGCGCCAAACACCCGGGACGAGGAATGCCCACGTCTGTGCGCACAGGGGTGGGGGTGGGGGGAAGCGGGAACAACACAGCCACACAGACACCTTCAAAGTCTTGCAGCCCAGAGCCGGGTCTTTGATCACGTGAGTGCATGGCTTCTAAATTACTCTACAAACCCCAGCCTCAGTCCCCCAAACACACTGAAGTGCCCTCCAAAACCCTGAGCACTGTCTCAAGGCCCATGGCTCCCCACTGACTCCTGGGAACTGGGCCTGGCCCCAGCTCTGGAGGGGAAGCCAGTACCACTGCACATCTGCCTTGCTGCACCTCACGTCTCGCAGTCCTACGTGCTCACTCCTTAGGGTCTCACTATGTTGCCAAGGTTAGTGTTGAACTTCTGGCCTCAAGCAATCCTCCTGCCTCAGTCTCCTGAGTAGCTGGAACTGGAGGGGTATACCAGATCCAGTTTCTATCACAGGTTTCCAAATTACTTGAAGGCTTGTTCGTTAATGAAAATAGGAAGTGCTCACTTCTTTTTTCTCATTTTCATTGCTGCACCTCACTAGTGTTCCCACAGGTATGACAGGGAGGCAACCCTGAGGGCACAGCACCGAATGCACGGGACGGGGCACAGCACCACACAGGGCTGTGCGGCCATCCTGGCTTTCAGAGTATGCACTGGAGTTTCTAAGGATGAGGACACCAGGGCTGCAGCTAACTTTTAGGTAGTGCAGAGAAGATGCACTTACAGACGGGCAGGCGCCCAAAGTCACGCAAGCCTCACCTCTGGGCGTCTCAATGAAGGGCAAGGGATCAGCTTCTTGCCAAACACAAAAAATGTTTCAGGAAGTCTTGTAAGGCCAGGTAGAGCCTGTGCTCAGCATGCTCAGGGCCCTGGCTTCCAACTCTGGCACCAAAAATTTATTTTAAAATGGCACGCCCATAGTCCCAACACTCCAGAGGATGAGGCAGGAGGATTGCCACAAATTCGAGGCCAGCCTGGGCTACATAGTGAGTTCAATGCCAGCCTGAATGGCACAGCCCTGCCTCAAACAAAACAAAACAAAACAAAACAAAACAAAACAAAACAAAACGACCAAGATGCAGAAGTGAAGGAGTGTAACACTTCCAAAGAGACAGATGACCCTGTGTAGCAGAGAGTGTTCCAGAAAATGCCCCTTCCCTGCACTCAGAAGACCAGATTTGCTCTAAAGAGCCAGTGCAGGGGACTGACGGGGTGGGACATTTCTGTAAAGCCTTCACTGACAGAGGGGACACATGACTAGGTCTCCCTGTTAGCTCCCAAACCTCCACACCTCTAGGAGCATAGGAATGGAATTCACCACAGGCACAGGCTGGGGAGCTCCCCTCAAAAGCCCTGAGGGCTGAAGCCCAGGAACACTCCAGCCCTGCAAACTCAGACCTGGAGGCCCCTGTGCTGGTTCACAATGCCACGGGGACATCTGCAGATCCTCCCCACAGCAGCCAGACTCAGAAACAAGTACAGTGTGGTTCATGGATAAGCAGAGGTATACTAGACACACAGTGGAACACCATGCAGCCCTAAAAAAGACAAGGCTGGACAGTGTTGTAGCTGAGGAATCAAGACCACCTAGCATGAGCAAAGCTCTGAATTCAATCCTCAACACCGCAAGAAGAAAAAAGAGGAAAAAAGCTAGCTTCCTGTGATCGCACGGCTGGAAACAGGGAACATTACATCACATAAAACCAGCCAAGCTCAGAAAGACTAATGCCATAGCCTGGCTCAGACATGGAGGACTTGGAATCATTCTCTCACCTGGAAGATAGAGAGAGGGACCCAGGGAAAAAGGCTAAAAGCTGCTCGAGTGCTGAGTCAGAGCAGACAGTAGTGGGCTCTGGAGCTCAGGACGTCTCAGTTACCTACAGATAGGAAAGCATGAAGAAGTGGCACTGCTTACCCTGCTGGATGCTATGCAATACATGCATGCTCATGCCTCACTGGCGCCCCACAGGCGTGGACAACTTTTAAGCAACAATTTTAAAAGTTTTAAATAAATCCATTGATTTTGAAAGCTCATCTCAAAAACAGCTAATCCACAGAAAACTAACTCCAAAAGGCTCATCTCCCAAAGTTACCTTCACAGAAACATCCAGAATAATGTTGGTGTCTGTGCACTGGGTCCCAACCAAGGAGACGCTAACAGTGTGGCCGCCTCTGGTGGAGCCACCACCTCAGAGGACTCTCAGTGTTGCCTGAAGGTGCTTTGAGCCAGAAGGCCTTGCCCGCCCACTCTGGGCCAGCGGCCAGGAACTGTGGGCCTGCTTGTAATCCCAGCACTCAGGTGGCTGAGGCAGGAGGATCACTGGAGTTAGAGGCCAGCCTGGGCTACAGAGTGAGCTCGAGAGAGCCTGAACTACATAGTGAAACCCTGTCTTAAAAAGACAATAAATAAATAAATAAATAAAGGTCAGGTGATCAGCAACACTCAACAGCTGGCCACCTGCAGTCACTGGGGGGTCATGTACACCATCCCAGACCAGCTCTGCCCAGCAGCTGAGCCCTGCTGGCGCCAGCCCTGACAGCAAGGATCTGGCAGCTGCCACACAGGCGAGATCTGCCTTCTGCTTTGGACCAGCTCTGGCTGCACTGTGTCCTGACCTTGCACCTGAATTTCACCCATTCTCCTCCCTGTTGCCCCACCCCAACTCTCTTTCTCTCTGAGGCCCTCTACTAAGTAAAACCTTTACACTTCGCTTAACCACTTTCACATTCTTTCCGGGTAGAGAAGGAAATGTGTTTTATAAGCAAACACTGTCGCTAACATTTAAAAGTACAGAAACAGATCACTTGGCTCTTTCATTTCACTCTCATTCCACTCTCATTTCATAGATTAAAATACTGAGGTCAAGGGAGATTAAGAAACACATCCAGACCCCTGAAGCATGTAGTAACCAGTAAAGCCAATGTGGGTATAGGGGGCTCACCTGTAATCCCAGTACAGCAAAGGCTGAGACTAGAGGAACAAAGCCAACTGGGCTACATAAGGAGTTCCAAAGGACAGTCTGAAAACAAACAATCTTGAACTGCACCTGTGAGACTGTCTCACAACAAACAAATAAACAGAGTGGTAATGACAGGGCCAGGGACCAGGAGTCTGAGGGTGGGAACTCAGCCCAGGGGGAGCACTTGCCTTATATGGGCAACCAGACCTGCACTAGGCTTAGAGGCCTTGGGCTCCAGTCTGACACTCCCTCGCCAGTGCTTCAAGGCTTTCAAAGCTGAGCTTCCCTCTGACCTCCTTGGAGTTACAGAGAGCCTCCAACATCTGCCTTTCCAGGCACAGACCTCTCCATTCTGGCCAGATTCTGTGACTTGCTGATTTGCAGGTAGGCTGCTTGGGAAATCTTCCTACACACTCTAAGTTCTGCTATTTTCTGCTATTTCTAAAAATAAAGTGCTAAAAGATCTATGGTACAATGGATGCAGCACTATACTATTTTGTGTAATAAAGCAAAGTACTCCTACCCAAATTTTTAAAAAGGCTGTAGAACACAAACATTTATAAGTATTTATGATGTTATCTATCCCCTAGGTGGTGAGATTACAGTAGTTCTTTCCTGCCTTCCCTGTGCTTTCTTATGTTTTCTGCAGTAATCACAAATGCCCATTTTTAAAGGATAAAAGTTAATAAAAGCTGTGTACACTGTAAGCAGGAGCACAGCCTAGCCGCCAGCAGCCTCAGTGCAAGCCTGAGCAGCCCTAGGCTGGGGCCAACTACAGCTCCTTTTCTGAAGCTGCTGCTGTTCAAAGGCTCTGGACTTCTCTGTTCTGTTACCAGCAAACAAGAATGCTCTGCAGAGATGATGGGCTCGTTCTCCTCATGGATTAGTGCCTGGAGCACTCTACTCTTTAGCTGGCCTCCCATTCAGGGTAGATAAACATCCTCCAGCCATGGGCTGTGGCTTCTTTTTTTTTTTTCTTTTTTGTCTTTTTTGAGATGGGGTCTCGCTATGTAGTTCAGGCTGGACTTGAGGTCACTTTGTAGCCCAGGCTGGTCTCAAACTCCAAATGATCCTCCCACCTCAGCCTCCCAGGGTGCTGGGATTACAGGCATGAGCCACCATGCCCAGCAGGGCTGTGGCTTCTTTAAAAGAAGGGTTCCCACCCACAGCCACTGCAGTGGACACCAGAAAACCTGCTGTCAGACCTCTGCTGTGAAGGTCATTTCCACCCACCTACGCCTGAGCCTGGCTAGACATCTCAGGCTATCATAGGGAGGCCCAGGCCTCCCCCAAACTTGGAGTCACCTACCCCAGGTCAACCTACCCCAAAGGCAGAACAATGAAAGTGGTGTGGCCAGTCAGGGCTCCCTGCTGGTGAGGAATACTTGGGAGTTGCCTCCAGCCCAGTTCCTGGCAGTCAGCCCAAGCCCTAGTTGTAATAACCCGCTTCAGTCATTCGGTGCCTTCTGAGCTGTCTTGCATACTAAGTACGAAAAAGCCCAACAAGCACCTAACAAATCTGTCCTTTTTACCATCTTTATTTTAGGCAACAAAGGAGTGCCCCAGAATGAGTTTGGAGAAGCGATTGGTCTCGGTCACAGCAATATTAGATGTTCAGTAACACCCTGTAAAAACACTCCAAAATACCATCAATGACATCTCTCCAAACTGGCTTCGAGCTTGCAAGTGTGCAAAGCACCTCTTAGTGGGAGGTCGTGCAGGACTCTGACACACTCAGCAAGCTGACAACCCCAAAGTGAGCGCTGACGGACCCGGAAAACTGTGAGTGAAAATTTAAAAATCTTCATGAGTGAAGCAAAAAACACAAAATCGTGCAACATTTTGTTTTTCGGATCTTGGCACCAAGCTCAGTGTGCTCTTTTCCTCCCTTTCCTTATTAAGGTCTGTGCATGAGAGCAGAACCCGCCTTCACTTTAAAGAGGTCAGTAAAGAGGAGAACCGGTGACTTTAACTAATCGTTTTGTTTTTCTACTAAAAGCGAATTTTTGCAAAGTGTACGAGTAAGAATGACTGAAACAATCTGCGACTTCAGCCCCTCCCGCCGCAGGCAAGCTGCGATTTCCCCGTTTGGCCTCGGCCTCGCCTAAGTGAGCCCCACAGTGTCCGCAGATCCCTCGTCTCATCCCTCCCAAGCCAAAAAACCGCTGGGCTAAGTTCCAGGCCCGCTTCTCCCACTCCTGCTGCAGAAAAACAAAAGAGGTGGAGAGGGCTGGCAGCAGCCGGGACTCAGACTCCGCCAGGGAGCGCACGGGGTGGAGGGGGGCCGGAGGCGAGGGTGGGACCAGGATGAGAGACTAGGGATCGGGTCTGGACCTGGGGTCCGGGACCGGGTATCGGGACCGGGATTCAGGGACTGGACCCGGGGTCGGGGCCGCGGCTGCCGTCGCCTCTCACCTCACCTTGGGGTCGCGCTCGTAGTAGTGCTGCTGCGTGCGGATCCAGCGGCCCACCAGGTGGTCGCGCACCGTATGTGCCAGTGCGAAGAAGTAGTCGCGCGGCGTGGCCACGTTGCGGTCCTTAACTAGCGTGAAGTGCAGGTGCCGGTTGAAGCTCTTCCGCACCTCGGCCACGTCGCCCAGCCCGGCCAGGCCTCGCACGCTGATCTGCTTCCTCCTCTCACTGTCTGTCAGCGGCGTCGCCATCGTGCAGGCTGGGAGAACGGGGCGCGGGCAGCGCGGCAGCGCGGGCGCAGGGCGGCTGGCCGGGATGCGGGTACGGCTTCCAGACTGCGGAGGGCCAGCCGGGGGACGCCTGCGCAGTGCGGGGGCGGGAGGCGGGGGGGGGCGGGAGGCGGGGGGGGGGCGGGTCCCCCGCGAGCGCAGGGCGGTGCCACGAAGAAGATTGACTGTGGCCTGAACCGCGGCGGAGACTCGCAAAACGCGGAGTGCTGCAGCAAACCCTGGATTCCCGTCAGTAGCTTCGAGTTTTTGCTCCTCAAAATCAAATGCTGAATTTTACCTGGAGGCCACTGCTGAGGTGAGGTTCACACCGTGAGCACCCTCTAGGGCCTGCCCCTGCCTGCCTGCCTGGACCACTTACACCTAACTCAGCTGGGTTCAGCATTCACAGCCTAGTGCTCGCTCAGGGCCCCACTCCACCTGGCTGCTTTGCAGTACCCCGAGTCTCCCCACTCAGTCTGAATCTGTAACGGTCAGCAATTCTCTCACAGTACAACCTTGATGTTTTCTTGTTACATTTCCCTCTCTTTACTTTTTTTTTTTTTTTTTTTTTTTTTTTGAGGCAGGGTCATAATATGTAGCCCAGGCTGGCATTGAACTCATGGGGATCCTCCTGTCTCAACCTTCTGGTGATAGGATTACAGCATCAATTTCCGACCCCACAGCAAACGCTGAATGTAGTTCCCAAGTACTTTGCTGGAGTTGCTGGGATGTCTGGAGAATGGCCTAAACCCCTCAGCGGCATGCCAACATCACTCAGGTCCTTTGACCCTACGTGCACCTCAGTCTCTTGTGAATAGTGTCTGCTTCTCAAGTGCTTGTACTAAGTTGTAAGGACTCAACTGATGTGGAAAAAGAAAAAGACAGCAAAGAGACTTAAGATATTTTAGGCAAATCACGTATGTTAAAGGACATTATTGGGCACCACAAGTTCACAATGGCTAATTTTGCATACTTCCTTAAAGGATAAATGTAGGTCTGGGTTTATTGGTACCACCCACCTGAGATTTCCTATGGACTCTTCTAAGCATAAGATCATCTGCACCCTTGAGTCATCTCAGGATTCTACTCCAGGACCAGATCCTTCTTAGAATTTCATCATCTATGCCCTCTTGAGTCTGTGTCTTCCACCGAACTGGACTCTTTCGTTAGCCCCACCTATCACTGTACACAATAAATAGCGGCTGTTCTGGAGTGTGGGACAGACCCCACTGAGAAACACTGACTTCCCAGCTATTCATGCATTACTAAACTTGTCTGTTTTTTTTATTTTTCTTGACATACCCTTAAGACAATTGGGACTCTTCGCACAGTTCCTGATAAACACTTCCAAGAAGGCTTTTTTTTTTTTTTTTTTGCTTGTTTGAAATAGGGTCTCATTTTGTAGCCCAGGCTGGCCTTGAACCCTGAGATCCTTCTGCCTCAGGATCCTGAGTGCTAGAATCACAGGCTTGCGCCATCAAGTTTGGCTTTTTCTTTTTTAATCTTTAAAAAACTTGGTCTATATTTGTCAGCATGATTTAAACAGGACACTTAACAGCTGTGCGTTTTACTATATGAAAATGATGTATCAGGGCTGGGGATTTAGCTCAGCGGCATAAGCATCTGCCTTGCAAGCAGGCAGTCGTGAGTTCGATCCCTGGTACTGATAAAAAGAAAAAAAAGAGAAGGAAAAAAAAAAGAAAATGATATATCAATCAAATGAAAAATGATATATCAATGAAAATGATATATCAATGAATGAAAAACGTTTTTTACAAAAATTTGGTCTGTTGGAGGAGTAAGGGCTAGAAGCTGCCAAGGGAGGAGGTCGATGAAGGCCTTGAGTCCAGCAGGCTGCCCCCAGAGCATGAGTGGGACTGGTTGCCAAGGTCTGGTTCTGCAGCCTCCTGGAGCTGTGTGCTTTGGGCGGAGCCCCAGAGCAAGCAGAGGCCACTATGGGCAGCTGCTGGGGGGAGGGAGAGCAGGGATTGAGCACTTGTGCCCTGTGGCCAGGGATCCCCATTTCCATGGGGAGAGTCAGTGGGAGAGGGGCCCGCTGGGCCCAGGGTTTCCAGCAGAAAGAGGAAGCCAAGCTGGCTCCCACAGTCCTGGGTCAGACACAATGAGACTGAGAAACCTAGGGGCTAAAAGGACAAAGAGGGGTTAAGGGAAACCTGTAGACAGACAGTAGACTTTTCCTTATTTCTGGTACTGGGGGTAAAACAAGGCTGGAAAGTGCTCTGCCCTGAGCTGTATCCCCAGTTCCAAGTCTTCATTTTCAAACCACTTTACTAAGATAAAATCTACACGTCACAAAGTGCCCCACACACAGCAGAGTTCAGTGCCTTCTGATGCACTTACAGGAGTGCAGCCACACTGCTGCTGCATTTTAAACATAGAACCTTTCACCATCACCCCAAATGCTGCCACTGCTTCTCCACTGCACCCCACACCATCCTGTCCCTGTGCCTCTGCCCATCCAGACCATTTACATGAATAGACTTGACACTAGACAGCAGCAGTTTTCCCTGACCTGGTAAAGAGACCGAGTCAGACACTGCGAGTGCACACGTTTGCTGCAGTTCAAGGGAGTTGGTGGCTGAGAGTGTGACTGTCAGTGTGATTCCTGGCTTCAGTGATGATGCCAGGAAAACCCAGGCAACACCAGGAAAGGTATTATGGGAAACAAAGCCCACTGCTCCACAGGGTAGGGGCAATGCCATGGCTTCTGCACAGATGGAGAAGCACCTGGCAGAGTCCTCTCCCACTCTTGTGAGGTCCCCAAAGAAAGTCACTGATTATTTACAGGTTGTCTCAAAAGGGACCAGGCCTTATAAAAGGTGCTAGCAACACGTTATCCCTGAGTGGAGACTATTAGGGAAATACATTGTAAAGGACAGTGAAGTTTAGGGTCAGCTCCATGGCTATCTTGTTCACCCCATTCCACCTCCTTTTTAGTGAAGGGCACGGCTGTGTCACGGCTTCTGAGTTCGACAGCCCAACCTGCTCCCCTCTGCTCCCTAAACTGAGGCTGTCCGTTCTCTCGCTGGCTGCTATTTTAAATCCTGCTGTTCTCATCTCAAAAGGGGCCAGGCTGCTCCCACAATAAGGTAGCAGCAGGTTCTGGTTGACTGGTTCAGGCAGGTTCAGGTCGGGGTACCAGGGATATGGTTCCCAAAAATGTCTGACAGACTTGGACACAGTCAACCCGTCCAAAAGGCTACCAGTTTCCATGATCTGGTACTGTTATCAGGTAGTTTCTTTAGAAATGGCTCATCTTTTTTGCCTCAAAGAATTGGAAGAGACAAGAATATGGTACCAAAAGTTTGTTTGAAAAGTGAGAGGTGCTGAATGTGGTGGCACACACCTGTAATCCCAGCACTTGAGAGGCTGAGGCAGGAGGATTGCTAAGTTGAGGTCAGCCTGGGCTACAAAGTGAATTCACAGCCAGCCTAAACTGCACAATGAGACACAATCTAAAAAAAAAAAAAAAAAAAAAAAAAGAAGGAAGGGAGGAAAGAAAGAAAGGTAAGGGATGAATGGTTATGGGAGAAACCAACTCTGCAGAGTAAATTTGGGCAGAACAAGAGGAAAAGAAGGTAAAAGCAAAAATAAAAGCACACACTGTGCCTGGAAAATGTAGGGTGCCACAGGCAGTCACAGTAACAGGCTTTGGTGGCATTTGGCCTTCTTTGTGCTGTCCACATCTTGTGAGCACTCAGGAGAGCTTCATGTGCAAATGCAGATGTTGTCCTGCACCTTGTCATTGACCAGTCCGCCCACTTCTCCACCGGCTCTGCCAGGCCCCAGCTCCTGCATCTACATCACCATTCTGCATAAAATGTCCTGCAGGACTGAGCCCTGGGATGCTTGGGCTGACACTGCTGCTGAGGAAGTACAGGATAAGGCAGAAAGTGGGGCGCAGAGAAAGGAAGGAAACACAACAGGGCCCAAATGCAGCAGACCAAGCAAACCTGTATCAGTCTTGGACAAAACAGCTTTGTCTGGTTTTAGTTTTTTGAGGTAGGGTCTCACTATGTAGTTCAGGCTGGCCTTGAATTCATGATGTAGCTCAGGCTGGCCTCAAAATCATGGCACTACTTCTGCCTCAGCCTCCCGAATATTGGGAAAGCAGGTGAGTGTCATCCTTGCTGAGTGGGGGAAATATTTTTAAATGATCAGCATGTTTGTATACAGAGTTGAGTAGACACTGACCCGGGGGTTATACTGGCAAAAGGGACTGACACACATGAAGACAGAGATGCCAAGATTTTACCCCATCAGATGTCGACGGGCCTTGTAAGGAGTCAGTGCTTTATTGAAGCAGCCTTCCGTCCCTGGGGAGTCATCCAGACAGCTGTTGTAACATGGTATCGCCCTACTGTATAGACTCCAAAATCTGTGTTTGTAAGCATGCTCGGAGCAGGTGAAGCCAGAGCGCTTCCTGGACTTCACCTTGGTAGCAGCATCTCATTTCATACACATGTCCTGCTCACATGGCTTCCCTAGGGCCCCTTTAGACCTGCTGACAGACAGCAGCATACCACATTGCAAGTGCAGGACTTCATGGCACCGGGGGTACACTTCACTGTCCAGCCTTGGATGGGTGGGTCCCTGACTGTCTCAGAACCATGCTGCGTGTCATCGTGCAGTACTGGGTGGAAGCCAGGGTCTGGAGCACACCAAGCGTATGCTCTGCCTCAGTGCTGACCCTTGGTTCAACTAATACCATGCAGTGAATGGAGGTGCTGTAAATTCCGCCAAGCCTGGGGGTGTAGCTCAGCGGTAGAGCCCTTGTCAGCAAGACAGAACAAAAGTGACTGAAAACACTTCCTTTGAAATGTCCTAATCCACAGACCATGGAAAACCCTGACCTGTGTTCCCATAGCTCCTGTACTCTCCCAAGTCCTTACCTGGCTCTGAGCTCAGATGTCATGGCAGACGTCTATCTGCCAAGCTACCCAGCCCTCCCTGGTGGGGTCTGGAAGAGCCACCCTGCCCTGCGCCTGTGCCCCCAGAGCTTGGCTCTGGCGCTTATGTTCAGGTGGGGTACCCTGGCTTCCAGCCCCAGCAACACAGAAACAAAGGCAATGGCAGGCACTCACCCGCCTCTCACGAGGTCTCCCAGACAGATGCCTTATAGAGGAACCTGTGCTTCCGAGCCATGACATCATGGTGCCAGAACCAAGATTTACAAGGCCACACTTGGGCTCTAAATGGAAATCTCTGTCCACTCGAAAGATTCAAGGGCTGCAGGGAAGGTATCAGTCAGGGGGGCCATGGCCTGGTGTCCTCTCTCCTGCCTGCAGCACACACTGCCACCCTGGTGACAACTGCAGCTGCTGTGACGTGACCAGGAAAGGCCTTGCGCCCAGGGGCCACGAGAGTGTGGCTGTCTCTTCACCCACCAGCCCTGATCACATGAAACACAGCCAGGCCACACCACACACACAGTAAGTACTCAGTCAGGACTGGAAGGCAGAGTTTCTCAGCCTGCCCACATAGCCCTAGTGTGAACATGTCCCAGAGCTCCTGTGCTGCTGACAGAATCCCTGAAGCAACTGTATCCTTAGGAGCTGCAGCCTTCTGCACACTGTCCAGGGCCCTTTGGGAATGGGAAAGGCACTTCCCTCAGTGGGGACAGCTGATGGGAGAACAGGGACCTACGGCCCTCACCAAACGCCACTGCAGGGCTCTGGAACCAACAGCCAATGAATTACACTATTTATTTGCAAATTTCTCGGACTCAAGTTGTTTCTTTCTCTGTGTGTGGCTGAGACAGGGTCTCACTATGCAGTTTAGGCCAGCTTCTAACTTACTATGTAGCCCAGGGTGGCTTTGAACTCACTTCGATTCTCCTGCCTCAGCCTCTTGTGTTCTGGGATTATAGACCTGGCAAGGTTCTGTTACAGCATGAGCCAGGCTAAGTCACCAGTACAACGAAGGCTGTGCCACATTGTATGGAGCCACAGCTTCCAGGCTGGGCCACCCTGACTGTCTCCTTCCTACAAAGCAGCCTCTACAGCTGAGAGCGCAAGCACTGGGGTAGGACCAGATAACTTCTATGCAAGCCAAGCCCTGGATATCAGTGTACAGGAATCATCTGGAAAACAACTCTTCGCTCCACAGCTAAGTCACGAGACTCTGCTACTACATCGCCAACTACATATTTATCAAGTTTAATCATGAACAATGAACACAAAGCAAATCTAAGTGATGTCAGGAAACCAGGCAGCTGTTACACACAGACCAACAGTGTAACTCCTACACCTACGTCATAGCAAAGGAGGGAAACTTGCCAATGGGTGACACGGGGCCATAGGGCCTTGTCATCGCATCACAAGGCCCACAGGCCAGGTGCTCAGCTCTCCACCTTGGTTCAGCTGAATCCAAGCTCTGCCGGGTTGGTGACCTCATGCAGGCACCCAGGTGATCAGCAAGGCCAGTGGAACTGATGTAGCTCATGGGCTTACTGTCATTCAGTCAACCCTGACACCGGAGAGACAAGGGCTGGACTGGCCTGTGTCGCTTGCATCACCTACTTGCAACATCACCTGTGCTTGATTTTTAAGCTGGCTTTCAAGATGACCCACAAGTGTACATGTGCAAAGAGATGCTGGGACCCATCCCAACCTACTTCTCTGTAGGGCCCTTGAAGAAGCGTGGAGGCCGAGGTCTAGCGGGTACAGGAGCCAAGGCACTCAGCTTCCCACCCCACCAAAGGCAGCTCTCCCCAGACGATCAGCAGCAGCAGGGTCTCCAGGCAGGGCCCAGGGACACAACTTTTCTCCAGGTCCTTTTTACAGCTGCTGCATCAGTCATCCCTGAGTTTACCCACGATGGCATCACCCATGCCTCTAGTGATCGCCAATGGGTTCGCAAAACCAAACCCATCCTGAAGCAGAAGTTTGTGTGCTTCAGGACATCCAAAAGCAAGTGCCTAGAGTTAATATAAAACTAAAACGTATTAAGTTTGTGTGTCCATGCACACAAGTACACATATGCAATAGGGAAATGTTCTACCACTGAACTACACCCCATTCCTGATTAGTTTTTGGAATTTTCTCAGTGAGAAAAGTTGATCACGACACAAAACCTGGAAATCATAAAGTAAGTTTGTATGGAAATTTCATCAATTTAAATGAAATAATTATACATTATAAACATAAAAACAGTGAAGCAAAAAGCCTGTGTCTATTAGTTATATCCTTAATAAGGATCTCCTAAAATCAGCGAGTGCCCACGACCCTACAGAACGATCAGAGGAATGTGAACAACATGCTCTTGGGTTGTGCAAAGCAGAGCAGATCACCGCACAGGTTGCTGCAGGGGTGGGGCTGGTTTGGCCAGGGGCCAAATCTACAGCTAGACCTCTCTTGCTGCAGACCCAGATGGGTTGCAGACCCCGGCACATGGTTCCTGCAGTTCCAGCTGGCTTTTCACAGTGTGCTATGACCACATGCAGACCTATTTTTAAAAGCGAGAGACTCCTTTATCTTCAGGGTGAAATGGCTCGCTGGGCCCAAAAATATTCCATGACTTATTTGGTTCTCATTTGGAAAGCTTCCATTGCTTACTTGTTCAGATGTGAGATCACTAAGCTGTAAATGGACCAAATCAATCCTCACTTTACCCCCCTCATGCATGTTTAATGCTTTGTCTCTGGAGTTCCTGGAATGGTTAAGACACTTGGTCTGGCAGAGGGACAGGGACCTTGGCAAGGTGAGGGCACACAGTGCCGTGGAGGAAGCTTCTTGGTGATGCTTCTGGGGTGGACTTCTGCTGGGGGGGTGGGGTGCATCTTTCCTGTGTTTTGTACTGGCCCGGTCACAGAATGACCTCTGCAGGATGTTTCCCTCCCTGTGCCCATGACTTTAGGGACTGTGGCAGATAGAATCCAGACTCTGCTGCTCCAGGTGGCCTGCTATGGGGACACCCACTGGCAGGAGGTCCTGCACCCAGAGCCTTTCTGGTTCCGCAGTGGGTCCTGAGAGGGGCCCAGGCATCCAAGAGCTCCTGCCCCCACCTGCAGATCATCAGTGAGGGGATGGATGATGTCACTCACCTAGGACTCAGGGCAGAACCCCAAACCTTTATTCATGGCAGAGCACAGAGTAGTACATTCACTGAGGGACCCGAGAGGCTGTCCCACATGGCTCTCGGTGCAGTGCATTTGTGGAGATGCAATGTGGGTGTCACAAAGGGGCTTGATGTAACTCACAGTGCCTGGGACTCGGGCCAACTGGCTGGCCCTGTTATGCCAGTGAGTCTTGCCCTGCTCTACTCTCTGGGGACTCTGCAGCAAGTGCAGGTCCATGGAAAGGGGTCCCCCACATCTCTGGGGGGCTTTGCATTTGTGGCAGAGGGAAGAGTCTCCCCGGAGATACCATCAGAATTCTATGGGTCCTGCTCTGTTCCCTAGGGTAGCAGGGAGCCCTTGGAAGGGTCGACAGGAGTAGGGGATAAGATTCACACACAGGGACACACACAGCCCCAGAGCCCCTCAGCTGGGGGACAGGAACGCACCCTCAGCCACACATGGCTCATGTCCACCTGCAGCCATGGCCCAGGCCACCATCCGAGGCAGTGCCAACAGCCCAACTTCTGCTCTGCAGCAGATCTGCAGAGGGCCTTGGCAAAGGCTCCTGTGGGCTGGGGTCAGGTCTGGACCACGGGGTCTGTGGGGAGACCAGGCCGGCTGCTATCAGGCTGCACTCTTCTGTCTGTTCAGGGCGTCGATGTAGTGGAAAATGGCCCCCAGGGCCCAGCTGGTCTCCACGTTGTCAATTTTCCGAGTCAGCTTGTAAAGACCGGGTAAGGGCAGAGAGGACCATCAGGCTCTGGACGGGGAGACCAGGCCTGACCGGGTGGTGGGGAGCAGCTCAGGGCAGCAGGGGTGGGGTCACCAGGGCCATTTTCACATGCTCCATAGGGACACAGAGCCCCGCGGGGGCCCTACCTTCAGCACTTTGTCTCCAGGGAAGCCAAACTCTCGCAGCAGCAGGCTGACATATGTGAGGTCCATGCAGAGGAAGGGGCTGTGGTGTGGCTGGGCACCCAGCGTCCGGCACACTAGGGACACCAGTCCCAGTCAGTTCCCAGGCCAGACCTCACGCCCAGCCCTGGGTACCCATCCAGCTCCTCCCTTTCCCAGGACCCACAGAGGCCTATATCCTGTCGGCCACCTTTTTGCCCACACCTATGCTCTGTGACTGTGACCCACCTTCTCCACCAGAGCCAGCACTGTGGTAGCAGGGCGAAGCCATGAATGGACAACTGGGATATCTCGGAGGCTGACAGAGCTTAAGGCAGGCAGTCCTGCTGCCCGCTGCAGCTGGAGGAGTAAGCATGGCCTAACGCTGACTGGGTACAGAGAGCTGTACCTGGCTGGAAGGCTGAGGGTGATACTGGCCAGCATTGCAGGTGAGTGAGGGGAACCAGGCAAACCAGCACAACATGGGGTACAATGTGTCACTCCAAAGCCCCGGCTCTGCACGCAGGCCTGCCTCCTCTGTGTGGGGACCATCATGAGTGTGCTGGGCCAGTGTGGAAGTCATTCTTGGGCACTCAGGTGTGCAGGACCAACACAGTCCACTCCCCAAAGCCTGGCAGGCAGGATGTACACCCCGAGGGCGGACTGGGTCAGGTCCTCCAGAGCCCCTGGCACTCTCACCACACCCCTGCACACCTCTGCTCACTGCTCTGGGGACAGAATTCAGACCCAGACTCAGGGCCTTTGAGCCAGTGCCAGTCACAGCCTTGTGAGTGACCCTGACCTGGAACCTACACCTCACTCACCGTACTTAGCTGCGATCTCAAAGTCCTCCACTGAGACACTGCCTCCCTTCTCTGCATCTGTAGAACAAGAACAACTGTGGTCTAGTATGGCCTGGAGCGGGGGCTAGGCCCCAGACAGAGATGCTTTTCCTCATGATACTGGGGGTCAACAGGGCCAATGCTGGACAAACACCAAGTGGGACCATAGCCCTGATCATGGTTTCTTTTCCCTGCAGGCTAGGGGTTGAACAGGGCCTTGCACAAGCTAGACAAGTGCTCTGCAACTGAGCTGTGTCATCAGCCCTTTCCATTTTGCTTTTACTTATTTATTTACTTTTGGTTTTCTGAGACAGGATCTTGCTAAGTTTCCCAGGTGGCTTTTTTTTTTTTTTTTACCTTTTTCCAGGGATCGAACTCACGACTGCCTGCTTGCAAGGCAGGTGCTTATGCCGCTGAGCTAAATCCCCAGCCCCCCAGGTGGCTTCTAACTCATAACCCTCCTGCCTCAGCCTGCAGAGAAGCTGGGACTATTGGTATGCACCAACACATTTGGCTAGCATTCTTTTGTTTTTTCAGACACAGTCTGCATAGCACAAGCTGGCCTCAAACTCACAGCAATCTTACTGCCTCAGTTTTCAATGTGCTGCGATTACAGGTGTGTGCCACCACACCTGGCTTGGGTAGCATTTCCCAACTGTGGAGAAAAAACTTCTGAAGGAACTTGAGAGCAATCAGCCCTGCCACGTATTACAAGCAAGTGGGGGCTGTCCCACGAGAGGAGCCATACTGAGCCCTGGCCCGTCCTGCTTTCAGAGGCAAGCACAATTGCAGCAGTTTTTCTGAATAGCTGATGGGGATAGCACAGAGCACCTGCTCCTGCATAGGCCCAGTAGGCTACACCAACCCAAGCCTGGCCAGGCAAGCTGGCTCCTGAATGGTGGCTATGGCCAGAGTGGCTGTGGGGTGTCGGCCAGTGGGCAGTCCGGGGGGGGTCCATTTCTTCCAGGTTTCATTCAGGGCATCAGTGCTCTCATCCTCACAGCCAGCACACTTTGTGATATTCTCGACTTACTCAAAAAGTTCATCTCTACTCTGAAAACCCTGCACCTAGTGTAGCACCCACAGCCCAAAACCCCACCTCTCCAGCAGGCTGGGTTCCCACGCGGGGAGCATGGACGGTGTGAGGCCACTGCCTCGCCAGAGGGGCTCTGAGTCTTGGACAGGGGAGCCTGGGCCAGCCCCAGATGACTGTCCACACCTCAGACACGTGGCACTGTCACATGACACCAGGAGCCCATATGTCTCTGGAAAGGGGCCCTGGTGCCCCAATATGTGGGTGCCTGCCTCACTTCTACCACTTGCCACCTGTCCACCACAGCCCTGGCTTGGGCCCATCAGCCATTCTCACCAATGAGACCCACGCTGGCTGCCAGGTCGTAGTAGTAGGAGAAGGCGTAGAAGTCCACGTGTCCCGCCTCTTCTGCCCTGTGCACCTTGCTTTGGAGGACCTCAGATACCCTGCTAGCACATGGCTCGTGGAGGCGCCCTGTGGAGAGGAGCACATGCCTTACACATGGACTGGTGCCACAGACCCCCTGCCCACAGTGCTTCCTGTGCCAGGAACCTGCTGTGGGTCATGGGCAGGGGGAGAAGCCCAGTACCAGGCCTGGGAGAAACCAGCTGCCACTCAGTGGGGTCCCTGCTTTCTCCTGGGTTACAGACAAGGAAATAGAGGCCACCATGTGGCTGGAGACCAGATCTAGGTCTAGAGGTTGCATGACTGCTGGGGGTGCCTGCAGGTGAGTGGCCCTGCCACTCCACTGTCCTTGTCCTTCCCTATGCTGCCCGGGCCAGTACCACACTCCTACCACCTCCTACTGCTGCAGGATGTGTCATGGTCTGCTCTGGCCCCAGGTACCCTGGGCAGCTGGTTCGGCCCTTGAAGCCTGGTCAGTGTTCACCCACCACCTCCCTCCTCCAGGGTGGCACCTCAGCCCCTCAATGGCAACTCAGCCCCTCTGCACCTTCTCCTTCATGCTGCTATCATTCTCCTTGCTGTTCTGCCAAGGCCCTGGATGAGAGGGAGCCACTGGGCCCTGGGGGTGGACATGCCCAGGCTATGTGTCCAGCCTGGGTACCACATTCAATCCTCCTCCAGGGAGGAACCCAGAGGGGCATGTGGGCAGGGGCAGGAACAGCCACGTGGGAGCAGCGGTGCCTTTCTGGCCTGTTTGTGGCCCTGTAGTCCCAGGTGCTCGAGGCCAGCCTGTGCAAGCCGTGGCCTGGGGAGGGCAGTGCAGGCAGCAGCTCCAGCCTGGTGGGCTTGTCTGAAGGCACAAGGCTGGGGGGCTGCCATGCTGATGTGCATACCTGCCTTTGGCCCGGAAATCCTGTACGTTATCTCTGCGTGCTCCCACTCGCCTCTGAACCCGGGAGATAGACAAGGGCTGACCAGTTCCTTCCCGTCTTTGGCTGAAAGGAGGTGGGGAGAAAGGAGAACCACGGGGCTGCCATCAGCCAGGACCTCCTGGAGCTAGGAGGGGCTGTGGTAAAAATGAAGGGGCCAGGTGTGAGGAAACACCCTGGGGTGACAGAAAGGACCTGCTCAGGGATGGTCCAGCCAGTTGCCTCCTCTGCCCGGAGATTGGCAGGTGACTGCTCACAGCTTGTGGTCCCTTGGGGCAACCCATGGGGGCACTGTCACTCAGCTTCACAGATGGCACTGGCCATGAGGGAAGGCAGGCTGGTGGCAGGGACAGTCGAGTGCCACCAAATGCCACTGTGTTGCAAACTGACTTTGTGCTGCTTTGTACACCAAAGCATGGCACATCCAGCATGGGAAACTGGCTCCATCCCAGGCTGCTCTGCCTGCCTCAGATTGCTGCTGACCCCTCTGGCAAGTTCTGTGTTGAGCAGGAGATGGATGGAGGTCAGAGGTGAGGTAGGGGCACAGCTGCACAGAGGACAGGTGCCTCCTTCTCCCTGCTTCACACTGACAAGAACAGCAGGAAGAGGCCACCAGCCTTGCAGGAGGTGAACAGCATATGACAGGTGCCAATGTCCCAGGTGAGTGTTCAAACACAGGCAGGACAGCCAGTCCAGGAGAGTCGGTGGGCAGCAGCTGCTGGGGACATGCTGGGCTCTGGAAGCCTCACATGCACTGTCTAGACATGCCAGCACCTGCGGGGAAGCCTGCCCACACAGGCATGGGGAATGTACACCACAGGGCTTCAGCCCAGTGGGGTCACAATAGTTTGGAGTGAGGCCACCTTCCCAGGACCTCCTAAGCCTAGGGTCTATGCCTGGAAGAGGCCAAGCCTGTGCTGCAACCTTTCAGAACCCAGATAAGGGTGGAGGGGGCTCACAGACTCCCCTGTGCAATAACAGCCCCAGCATCAGTACCTTGTGACTCCCTGCTGCAGGAGGGCCAGGTTCCCTTCAGGTTAATTTAAGTGCCCCAATGGCCTGTGTGAAAAGCCCGTGGTGCCCCCGAGGGGAAGTCAGGTTACTGGGCAATGCCGTTGGGAGGATGGTGCTAGTCCGGCTGCTGCCTCTCCTCACCTCCCAACTGCTGTCAGCTGTTGTGGGCAGTGTGGTGCCCACCAGGCCCTAAGGAACAGGGTCACAGGCCACGGGCAGAAACATCCAGAGCTGGGCACTGATGCCAGGCTTTCCTTATCAGCTGATGACCAGGGATTCTGTCACAGTGACGGGTGACTGACTAGCATGCAATGCAGCTCCCAAGGCAGGGCATGACTGCACAGTTACTTGGGTTCCTTTAAAGCCTATTTCAGAAGTGGTTTCACTAACATCTCTTTTTAAAAGGACTTAGAATATACAAGGTGTGATAAAAAAGTATGGTGAACTTACACGATTTAAAAATTTTATTATAGTAGTACTGCCACTAACTCCCTCTAAATCCTCCTTTTGGCTTTGAACATACTCATCTCATTCCATCATCCCTGCCATTCTTTGCAGCAGCTCTGGCATCATCCTCTCTCCCAAGTGTATCCGTTTGTACTGTACTGGCTGCTTCGCTGTCCTGAATCCATTCAAATGTTTGGCTGTCATGGTCATTTTCACTTTGGAAGAGCTTGAGGGTGCATGGTGCCAGATTCAGTCAATGATGTGTTCACGTGCTGGCTTTCCACTGGACAGCATTTGACAGCACTCATGGTGTTTTTGATCATACCTCATAAAGACACTCAGGAAAGAGGACTCCAGAGCTGCTTCAGAAAGTGGCAGAGAACAGGACAAGTGTGTTCAAAGGGAAGGGGAGTCTCCTGAAGGGGATGGGTAGTGCTGCATCTTTATGTGTCACTTATTTAAAATTTAAATGTCGTCAGGCATGGTGGTGCGTGCCTGTGATCCCAGCACTCAGGAAGCTGAGGCAGGAGGATCACCACAAGTTTGAGGCCAGCCTGAATTACATACTGAGCTCAAGGCCAGCCTAAACTATTGAGACCCTGTCTCAAAAATAAAAAAACCCTAAATGTTCACATTTTGATCCCACCTTAAACGAGGTAAAAATCCCTCCTGGGCCAGTCCCACCCCCTGTCAACCAGGGACAGAGGGCAGATGGCTCCTCCCTCTCACCAAGGCAGAGCCCTGAGCAGCACCCTCCACTCACCGGGTCTCCCCTCCACACCACCCAGGATCGCCAGTCGTGCCGACATCAGTCCCAGCCCCAGGTAGCTGTGGAAACAATGCCCACCCAGTGAGGCCCGGAGCTTGGCCCTGCTCACTGTTAGCAGCGCCATCCTGGAAGGGAGGCTGCTACAGCCGTCCTGCTCCTTCAAGGAGTCTCGGTGGCACTGTGGGACTTGGCTGAGTGGCTTACACAGGAGCTATGACACTGCCAATACGCCAGATTTCATGGGGTGCAGGAGTAGAATGATGATGCTGTGTGGCAGGTGGTGGCTCAGAAGCACCCCATTCGTGCTTGGCTCCCTCATCTCTCCCAAGTCTCCTCCAAAGCGTAACAGAGCAAGGTGCTGGTGGGGGATCCCAGGACCTGGCCGGGGTGTGGGCTGGGAAGGAGACAGAAGCAGGGGCTCTGAGGGCTGTGGCTTCCCTCACCCTGAACACCAACCTGTGGGAATATAGCCTGTAGGTCCTGTTAAACATCTGCAGTGATGTCAAGTGGCCAGGGGGGGAGGCCTCCAGAGTGCCCTGTGGAGACATCAGAGATTCTTTCAGAATGAGGAGCAAGCCAGGAAGGCAAAGTACCCAGAAAACTCTCGCCCAGGCAGTGCCACCCCATTCCAGGCAGGGCGCAGCCAGGGCCCCAGCTCTGACAACTGACACTATGAACACTATGAAGGACGCTTGCTCCTCAGGCCCGGCCCCTGGGATGATGAGGGCACCTGCTGGTCATCAGGCTCATGGTTCCAATCCAGACCAGATTCCATTTTGGTCTGTTTCCCAGGCAGGAGCCACCCATGGGCACCATCCTGTCACCACCCCTTGCCAGGAGAGCAGTTACCTTGGCCCTTGGAAGGAAGGTGATCTGTGTGGAGCCACCACCCAGATCCAGCATGCCCACGCTGCTCCTGCCTGGGGCCCGCAAACTGCCTGTGGGCGGCAGACAACATGGTCAGGGAGGAGGCAGGACAGCCAGAGAAGAGCGTCAGTGGATGAACTCTGAGACAGAGTGGTGGGTTCGAGGAAAGGAACCCAGTCCCTGGGAAAAGGTCAGGTGGTGTCAGTCTTAGCTTTAACGCAGATAAGGGCAGGATGATGCCAACTGTCTGAGATGATACACTGGCCCTATGAGATGGGTGGGGGCTGCAGTCTCCCATCTCCATCTTCATCTCCCTAGCAGCACCAAGACAGGGATTCCCAGACGACCACCTCAATCTCTGTCCACCCCAAAAGGGGCAGGTCCTGCCAGGAAATGCTCATAAACTAAGTCAGACATAGCCTTTCCCCAGTCCAGCAAAGGGAGGTGTGCAGAGAATAATCTATGAAAGATGGCTTCTCGTGGCTGGTTCCTGAGAACAGGCATCTGTGCCAGGCACCCTCAGACACAAGAGAGGCTGCAAGCAGCCCTGTGGGGGACGCCTCCATGTCCTCAATGGGTCCACTAACCCCGGGCTGAGCCCTAAGGGCTGCAGACACAAGTGCCCATTCTCCAGGGAGCCCACCAGCCCCATGGCACACTGTTGCCTGTGGGGCCAAGTGACACACACCTGTTAGGAAGTTGATGGTGATCCACGCAGAGACACCTACAAGAGAGTGGCGTGAGAAGGTCCTCATCCCCCAAGACTGCCCATGCAGCTCCCAGGATGCTTGTCTCTCCCTCCAGGCCTCCCTATGACTCCCCCAGAGAAGCACTGCACAGATGTAGTCCTGTGGCTTCCGCCAAATATTCTAGAAGGCACCACCTGAAACCTGACTACCCAAGGCTGTGTCTCCCTGCAAGTTTTTCATCCCAGTCCTCTTCTGGAAGACTAAGGAAGGGAACTCATGCTCAAGGTTGAAATTAAAGGCAGGGCCAGCAGGGACTCAGCAATGCAGCTGCAATGTTTTGAGTGCAGCAGCAATAGGTGTGCCCCACGTGCTCTCCACACCACTTTCAGAAGATCCATTGGCACTGGTCCATGTGAGAACTGTCTCTACAACTGGCACTGGGAAGACACCCTGGGACACCTGCACCAGGAACAGCCTGAGAGCCAGGCACCACAGGCACCCTGTGCACAGACTCCAGCAGCAGCAACAGCAGCGCGTGGGTGGCGTGGGACTGGGGGTGGGGGAGTTCTGGCCACTCTTACCTTCGTCGGTTCCGTTCATGATGGACACACAGTCTTCTCCTACTAGGAAAGGCGATGCCTTAAACACCTCTTTCACCTGTACAGGAGAGATGTCTTCACCCTCTGGAATGGGAGGCCAAGGGCTGCTGGGCAGCAGACTGCCGAGGCCACCCACTCCACAAAAATTCCGGGCCTCCCTAGTCATACGAGGGCCCGTTCAGAGACATGGCATCCTGCAGATGGCAGTGTGGGAGCGAGGTGGCTACATTAGGCCAAAGTGCTACCCGGGGCAGGAGGAGGGATGAACAATGAGAAGCACCATTATGGAGCTGAGCCTGGCATCTGGGGGTGCTGCTGTGCCCTGCATAGGGAACTTAAGTATCTCTGTCCCCCCACCAAGTCCAATGCCCCAGGGAGGGACCCTGATGGACAAGCAGGGGACACGCCATCCTCTTGTAGGGCAGTGAAGCAGGAGCCTCAAGGTGGAGTCATAAGGACCCAGAGGAGCACAGAGCGGGGAGCCAAAACCAAGGGGCTTATGGGCAGTCACATCTTTCTCTATTTTTGTTGTAAGACAGGATCCCACTACAGAGCCTGGTGTCATAGTTTATGTCTGTGTCCCCCAGGCCTCATGAGTTGGAATTGTGCATTTGTTATTCGTTGTCTAGTGCTTGGATTGATAGTGTCAGTGCTCCACCCACAAAGGGGTGGAGCCAGGATGTGATGTAATGGCAGGAAGGTGTGTCTTGTTCTTTGCTGGTTCCTGTTTGCTGTTTGCAGCCACCATGAACTGCGGCCCAGCCATGCCTGCCTGCCTTGGAGCCAACTGAGTGTGGACTGAAACCTCCAAAAACTGTAAGAAATAAATCTTTCCTTTCCCAACTTGGGCTTCAGGGATTTTGTCTCAGCGACGAGTAAAAAGTAACTAAGACATCTGGGCTGGCTTTGAACTTGCAGAATGCTAGGGTTCCTGGTGTACCCAACATGCCCAGCCCTGGGCAGCCATGGGTGAACATCTGACTGAGGTCAGAGAAGCTTAATGCCCATAGCCCTCAACCCCACTGAGTCCCATGGTGGGAGCTTTGAAAGCACAGGACACTCTGGGGGTACAGGGCCTGGTGCACAGGAGCCCAATGCTGCACCCACCTTCTGCAGCAGCCGCTGAGCCTTCTCTCCTGGTAACAGGCGCAAGCCAGCTGTGGCCTTGAGGACCAGCGGAGTGGCCTTCCAGAAGTCAAATGGAATGTCCTGCTTAGCAACATCCAGCAGCTCCTGGATCCCTTGAGCGCTCTGTGGATGTTGTGACAGCAAAGCAGGGTCTGTCACACCCAGTAGCTGGGGTCACAATGCTACCCTGCCTTTGGATTTTCTGTCTTGACACAGGGTTTCACTATGCAGTTCAGGCTGGCCTTGAACTTGCAGCAGTCCTCCTGTCTCAGCCTCCTCAGTGCTGGGTTTATTGCTCTCTAGATTTATAACATGATTTTCTAGATCAGCAGAGGATATGGACAGTGTGTGGGGCACTGAGGTAAATGTAGAGCCCTGAGCACAGAATGTGGCAGGGTGAAAGCAGATTGAGGCCGTGAGGGCGGGCCCGTGGGCCCACCCTTTACAGCTTTCTTTCCTTGGGTAACAATGCCTTGCTGTCATTGGCCCCCAGGCAGCCTGACAGGCCTGGGCTCCTTGATCCCACAAGGCTGCTGTGGCCTGCAGTTTAAGTCCTGTACTGAGCTCCGTCCTCTGAGTGACTGTGCTGAAGACCACGTCGCTGCTAAACACTGGGGACAGCCCAGGGGAGCATGGATTCCAAGCAATGATTTTGCAGTGCTGTGATGAGATCCAGGGCTTCACCCACCTGAGGCAAGAACTTCACCTCAGCCATACTCCCAGCCCTTAGAACTCAGTATCTTCTAACTTTACTTAGGTTCTAGTATTTCTTTAATCAAAGCATCCATGGCAAAAAACCTAAAGTTTAAAATGCACTACAGGCTGAGATTATAGCTCAGTGGTACACACTTGCCCAGCATGCGTGGGGTCCTGGGTTCTATCGCTTGCACATTAAAAACACACACAAAAAAGAATGAAAGGATGATGCAAAACCCGAAGACTAGTGAAAAAATGAACTAAGCTTCCAAATAATACATGCCGTGGGTTTGCAGTGTGCTACCAAGTGGTGGTAAGCCCCTGGGGGTATGTGGTGCCCAGAAGCTGAGGCAGACCTGCTCGTCTGCACCTGGCCATGCTCTAGGCTCAGCACTGAGGCAGCACCACAGGGCCTCCTTCTGCCTGCACACCCAAAGGGTTGGAGCTGGCTTTAACTAACCATACAGTGAGGTACAGCAGTGGAGGCTTTTACCTTCTCGACATCATCGGCATAAGCAGAAAGCCCTGGCTTCAGTGCTTTAAAGGTCTCATGGGTCAAGGTGGGTGTCTCTGAAGGAAAAGAAAACAGTTTTTAAAAGGTTCACATTATGGCTTATATCCTGGTGCCTCCCAAAGCCTCAGGCAGTGATGGTAAGGCTTGTTCCAACGTGGCTGGATCTAGGGTACGATTACTAAATCACCCACTGACTGCTTTGGCACAGCTCTGGGTGTGAGCACCACCCACCCTTAGGGGAACACAGAGGGACAGGAAGACACTGCTGCTGCTGCTTGTCTTCTGCTTTGCAAGGCCTCTCTGCCGTAATGCCCTGCCCTGGAGTTAGCCTGCTACAGACTGAAACCTCTGTACAGTGTGAGCCAAACTCCTCCTTTAACTCTGGAGGCCAGGGACTTGTCTCAGCAATGAGGAAAGTAATTGAGGCAGTTTATCCAAGAAGGCAGACCCGAATGTATGCAGGTATACAAGTGGAACTAGTCAAGACTTTTTTTGGTACCAGGGATTTTGCACTGTATCTTCAGCCCTTTTTAATTTTCTGAGACAGGATCTTGCTAGATTTCCCAGGTGGGATTTAAACTTTCAACCCTTTTGCCTCATCCTCCCAGATGCTGGGCTTACAGGTGTGTGCTGCCACGTTCAGGTAGCCAGGCATTTTAAAGCCAATTTTCTGATCATATGGACCAATCTCAGAATGACAGGGCCTTTTGGCCCTTTTTGCATACATCTGCTTCCAGATTAGTGATCCCTCATGTTTGGGCCAGAACTTTGCATTATTTAACATATGGGGTGTGGCTCACTGTGAGGTTCTACATTTGATCTTCTACCCCCTCAAAAAAAAAAAAACCAGCATTTCTTTTTCTTTTCTGGTCTTTTTGAGACAGGGTCTTGCTATACAGTTCAGGATAGCCTTGAACTCACTATGTAGCCCAGACTGGCCTCAAACTCATGGCAATCCTCCTGTCTCAGCCTCCAGAGCTGGGATTACAGGTGTGTACCACCATACCCAGTTTGAACACTGTTGATGCAGATTTCATAGGTACATTACCTCAATGCGTTTTTTTTTTTTCAAAAAGCAAACTTCTGGTCCAACATAAAAATATAAAGAAATTAGAAGCAAACAAAACATGCCATGATGATGTTAGAGAGAGGTGTTCAGAGTGTCTGGTGGCAACTGGCAGATGATAGCATGGCAGCTATACATAGCCATCTAAGGCCTGAGAGGAAGTACCAGAGTGCTTGTCTCACACAGAGGGACACAGCCAGGCTGAGGTGCGGTGGAGGGCAAAGCTCTGGGGAGACAGCAGATGTGGCCAGCGAGGGTCTGTGCAGGAGAAAGCCAGGATTGCTTGCCTTGCCCAGCTGGGAAGCACAGGCCCGGGGCCTCTTTGCTTTGGCCCTTTCATTGCTGGATCCCCACTGCCAGCTCCTCGAGGACTCCTGTGCCATGGCCTGACTCAGTTACTTCCTGCTCCAAACTCTGATGGGACCCCAGTGACTATGGGGAGAGGACAGGGCACCAACATTCTCAAGGTGCTCTGAGACCCTGCTTGCCGAGATAATCGGGGCTCGTGGGGAATGCAATGACTCATAGATTCAGGGTCTCTCCACAGCCAACCCATCTTCCTACATTTTTCTATCTGTACTTTTCTCTGCCTGCCTATCATTAATTTTTGGCCCTAGACCTCAAACCTGGGGCCTTGCACCAAGTGCTCCCCCACTGAGCCCCTTCCTAGCCCCTGGCAGCTGCACCTTGAACAGGTGCCAGAACATCCAGGCAAGGCACAGCCCATACCATCCTTTATGGTAAGGTGACCCTGGGGTCCCTGGGAAAGGGGAGGGCAGCCCCTCCGTGTGGGCTCAGAGGGGCTCTCAGATAGGTCAGGTACCTCCAGGTGGCCGGGCAAACTGGAAGACATGCACACGGGTGCCGGTGCTCCCAGCATCAAACATGATTCCATAGAAGACCTCGTGAGCATGGGCAGCCGACCCCACAGGGATGTGGGCTGCCCCGGGGATGGAGGAGAGCACCTGCGGAGCAGATGCCTGGTGCCACTTGATGTAGGCGACGTAGATGAACAGGCCCACGCACAGCCCCAGAAGGTACGCCACCCTTGTCATCCGCAGGGACCCATGGCTGGGTATTTTTCTCATTTCTTAGTCTGCCCAGGATGGTGTCGCAGCTGCTGGAGGGGAGGAAGGAAGGCTGTTATACTGAGAGGTGCCAGTGTGTGTCCAAAGTTACAGGGTCCAGGGGCAAAACATCCAACCGGAAACCGGGATGCTTCGCTGCAGCATTTCATCCTGCATATGGCACTGGCAGGAACAGTCGGAGCTGAGGGGTGAAACACAGTAAGCCGCCCATGCTCACAGCACAGGACACATCTGAAAAAGTGGCAAGGATTTCTGTGATAGGACACCAGAACGCAGGGGACTGGTGCAAACGTGCAGCAGTGGGGTTGCACCAAACTAAACACTACATAGGAAACCACCAACAAAATGAAAAGGCAACTTACAGAATGGAAGGAAGTATTTCCAAACTATCTGATCTGGTAAGGAGTACATATTCATAAACAATTCAAATTCAACAACACCAAAACATAACCTCATTTAAAAAATAAGCAAATGTATGAGGTCTAGGTTCAATCCTCAAGACCCCATAGAAAAAAAGGAAATATATTTCTCCAAAGGTGTGCAGATGGCCAAGAAACATATGAAAAGCTGCTTCAACACCACTACTCACAAGAGAAATGCAAGGTCACAGTGTGACACCACTCCTATTCTTTCCTGTGGCCACTACCAAAAGCAGCACCACTACAGCCCAGAAAATAACATGTAGGCAAGGATGTGGAAAAACAAACCCCTGCGCACTGCTGGTGGGAATGTAAGCTGGTGCAGCTTCCCCCCAAAATAAAAAATAGAATTACCACATAATGCAGCAATATAGTATATCCAAAGGAAGCAAAATAGGATCTCTAAGGCCTATGTACACCCCCACTCACTGAAGCATTGTTCACAAAATCCTATGGGTGGCAGCAACCTGGAAGTCCACAGTCACCTGCATGGATAAAAAACGTGCTCTATTCATACAGTGGAACACTATTTGGTCTTAAAGGGGCTGGGAACAGAACTCAATGATAGAGTATGCATAAGGCTCTGAGGCCAAAAAAGTAAGATGAAAATAAAAAGGAAGAAACTGACACAGGACATAACATAACGAAGCTGAAAGGCATTCTGTTCCATGAAAGGAGCTAGCCCCAAAAGGACTCTGGGTAGGGTTCCCTACAGCAGAGCATGTCAGGGCCAAGATGGGAGCCAAAAGGACTGCAGGCTCCACCACAGAGCTTGGGTGTGTGTGTCGAGAGAACCTCTGCACAGCAATGGCATGACAAACTATTTTTTTTTTTTGGTACTAGTAACCCATGATCTCTCGCTTGCCAGGCAGGTGCTGTGCTGCAGAGCTAAATCCCTGGTTACACAGCAACTATATGTACTGCACCCAAACTTGCACACTCAGAAGTGGCTGATGGCACATTTTATGTTTATATATTTATCACAACAGCAAAGCTTCAATGGCGGAGACCAGGCAGGGGCATGCATGGGTGACTCCTGGGGGTGAAGGACAAAAGCAGTGGGGATAAGATGCAGGGCCGAGGCTGCCTGCTTCTCAAACTCCTAATGTCCCAGTCATTCTTGGCCTTGCTTCAATAAAGGTGACTGTCTCTGCCGCACTTGGGCTCTTCTCACCTTAAGTGACTTTTAAGGTCTGGGGTTTTCTGTTTATAGCACACTGCTCTTTGGTCCCTTCTCCATACCCTCTGAGTCAGGCCACCCCGGCCCCTCCTGTAGGACCTTGGTGCTCCACAGGCCCCACCTCTTTGGTGAATGACCCATGAGGCTGGACATGGGGGCCTCTCCCTATAGAAGGGACCTCTCTGGGGGCAGGGCTGCCCCCATCTGCCCACCCAGAGCTCCGCAACCCACATGCAGACTAGGAAGAAAGTGGAAGATCCACTGTTGGTGCTTTCATGTCTAGGTGACAACCACTAGGGAGGGGTTGTGTGGCAGGAGGCACAGTGAACAGGTTGTGTTCATGCCAAGCTTCATGTGACAACAGGACGTTGGTCAGCACGGACCAATCCCTGTGGAGACATGAGGCTAACAGGTAGCACTTATGAGCTGACAGTGCTAAGGGACTTCAGTTGAGCAGCGCACATCATCCCAGCTGCCTCTCCTGCAGGCTTCTTCTCGTAGCTTACCACGACCCAAACCTTCATTATAAGTGGCCCTGGTATTTACAGGAAAAGTTCTGAAGTGGTTAACACCAGGGATGAATGGCGAGGACCCAAAGTAGCCATGAGGGCATGTTACAGAAGCTGCAGCAGAGCCAGGTTTCATCCTGCCAGTGCCAGGCTAAGTGCTATGTGACAGGAACAGCCTACCAGGCATCCTCTAGCTCTCAGGCAAGGCTGGGTCTCCATGGAGACCACTGCCCACTAAACACTCCTGCTATGCCACCTCTCATCAAACTTGCTGGCCCCATCGTTGCTGCCTGCTGTCCCCCAGGACATCCAGGCCCCAAAGTACCTGGAATGGATGTGCCTGGGGCTGTGCAGGGGTAAAGCAGAGGAATCCCGACTTCTGCCTCCAGAATGATGGGTGCTCTGTCTCTTCACATTCCCTAGAAACACATGACAGCATTAACAGCCAAGCAACACGCCCAGGAACTCACATAATCACTGGCGCTACACACCAGCAAGTGCAGAAGGACATCAACAGTCCAAAGAGGACATGCAGACCAAAACAGGCCACCTCCACATTGAGACCCAACATGCACACCAATTTCACTCTGGAGTAGAGGGGTTCTTCACAGCCAAGATGCCTGCAGAAGAGAGCACCACACTTCCATGGGTCTTGCTGGCCCTCAGTGTGGATTCCCCAGTGACTCGATGTGAACGTAACTCAACCTCCTCCCAGTACCCTTTACTGCAGTGAAAAATGAGGCTGCAGGGAAGGGAAACCAGGTGGAAAAGGGAGAGGTGGCAGGAAGTGGGTGTGGTTAATAAACAGAGGTTGGGCTCTGGCCAGGGCCACCCAGTCAGGTGGGGCTGGAGTCAGAGGAGAGCAGCACACCAGTTCACTAAGGCATGAAACTGCCCAGAGCCTGCTCACTTTCTAGAAGCTGGGATCAGACTGGCTCTCAAAGACACACGTGCCAGCCACTCCAACTGGTACGGCTGAATGTTTTGGCTGGTTTTTCCAGGTTTTCAGTTAAAGTGTGGGAAAGGGCAATGACAACAAACAACTGCTGCCTATGCCAAAAACGTGCCCAAAATAAGGCACAACAGCAAACCTACACCCCTTCTTTCCGAAGATGCAAAAAGACTTCTTGTAGTGAAAGTCTACTCCTGATCCACCCTGTCAACACCATCAGCTCTCTCTTCTCACTGGCTGCCTGGGCGGGAGACACTTCCAGAGGTCCCTGAGGAACAGACCCTGCCTCTCCAATTCTACATGGGGATCTGGGAGGCAGAACAACACACACCCCATTGGCCCCGACTGCAGGCAGGAGCACAGGGACACAGCAATTTGGCCTTGTCACAGTATGGTTGCCAGCTTTCCCAAAAGTGCACACTGTTAACAGAACAGCGACACCATTCTGTCACTTGCCCAAAATGCTGCTCCTCGGCACTAGCGGACACGGGGATAACCCTGCACGGCGTTCAGCGCCCACCTCTCCCCACGGGTGGTCTTTCCAGAGGTCTCAGAGTCTGCCATGTCGGGTCTTGGCCAGAGAAGCCCTGCCTCCAGCAGGATGAGGCTGTGTGTCTCAGCACCCGCAGGGCAACCCGGAACACAGCCAGGCAGTCAATGGGCACTCCCCACAGGTGGCCAATTCCGGTGGACGCCACTCGGCAAAGCGCTGCGCCCACGGCGACCCACCCCGCAATGCGGGCTTTCTCCCCGCTCCCACGCCGTCTGCCCCTGGCGCCCACTCTTCCTGCGGCGAATGCGTCCCACGGAGCGAGGCCTCTCTGGTCCGACCCGTCCACCCGGCCCGGGTTAGCTCTGACAGGCACTGGCGCTCCTCTGCCACCTACCTGCCCAGCAGCGGGAGCAGGTCCCTGCGCCAGCCGCAGGGCGCAGGGTCTCTGCCCGGATGAGGTCCGGGCGGGTCGGCGACGCAGGCTGAATGAATGAAGAGGGACGGCAGGGACGCCCGACGTCCGGGAGGCCCTGCGCAGCCGGGTGGAGGGCGACCCGTGGCTGGGGACCGGGACTGCCTCGCCCAATCCCCCCGACTCCTCTCCCACCGCGCGCTCACCCCACTCGGCGCCCAGGGCCCCAAGGCGGCGTACTGCGGAGTCCTGGCTCCTGCGCCGCGGCAGGCGACAGCACCGCCCCGCACCGCAAGCGACCCCGCCACCTCGCGAGCCGGGCCCCGCCTACGCGCACGCGTCATCGACCGGGCGTGGCGTCGCCAAGGGTTGCGCACGCGCAGAGCGCACATTGCGGTCCAGCCGCGCAGGCGCAGTACCTTTCCGGTCGGGACCCTGGATGCGCTTCCTCCGCTTGGTGACCCCTCGGGGGCGTAGCCCGGCATTCCTCTCTGCGGTGACCTACTGACGGGGTTCCCTGTGTCCCTCCACATCCAAATTCTCGTTTTATTTCTAAGCGGATACGTGACAATGCAGCTGCACCGAGTTGACAGGGCGGTCGCCTCCACACTTTTCACCCGTTTTCTCATGGCCCCCTGGAAGCCACTCAGGCCGCCAGTTCCTGATGGCTGGTCCCGTAATGTGCCGCCCCGTAGGGTTGCTCAGGAGTCCCCCAAGCGGGGGGCCCTCCTGTGATGCCCTCACATTTGGGCTGCCGCGTGGCGTCCGGGTTAGAGACGCACTTCACGGGACCGCCGCGGCCCCTGGGCGTGAGTGCGCCAGGCCTGGTGCAAGTACGCCGTGGGGGGCCCCGGGTCGTAGCGAGATCACAGGCCGTGGTCTCCACAGGGCTTTCTGAATGATATAACTGGGGGATGCAGGGACTGCGGCGCTGAGCCTGTGTGCTGAAGAACCGCTCTCTGTGGGCCGGACCCAAGTTTTCCCACCAGTAATTTGCTATATAATGATGATGCTATATTAATGCTGCAGAATCCCAACACTATCTTTGTGCGTGCTTGTGAGTAGATCTATAGGAAAAACTCTTAGCAGTGGAACTGGCAATGGTAAAGGATATGCCCTTTTTGTTGTTTGAATGTATAGTCTTGCTATGGAGTCTAGGCTGACCTTGAATTTGGAATCCTCCTGCCCCAGCCTCCCAAGTGCTGGGATTACAGTTGTGGCCACCATGCCCGGCCAAGATGTGCTCTGTTAAAACACATCCTGCACAAATGCATTTGAACTGGCCCTGGCCCCTGTCCTAACACACTAACTGGCAGACATGGTACAGGGTGTGGGTCCCCCATCACCGTCCCAGTTCTTCGGAGTATCTTTGCTAGTACAACACTTACAGAGTTACGTCTCAGTTCTACTTTATAATTTTTCTAGCATCTCGAAATCCCTGTTCATGGAACAGGGCTGGCCCAGCTCCTGGCTGACTCACGGCATCTTTATCACTCCCTTACTGTCTCTGTGTTTCACTGTACAGATTCGAGAATGTGTCAAAGTTTTGCATACCCAATTTACTGCTTGGACAGCTTTCCTACCAGGTCTTAGGAGATTCTCATAACTAAAGACTCAGCTTAACCGCACCTGCATGGCCACTTTATATACAATGGCCTCTCCAAAACTTTTCTGTCATTCTCTATGCATTTCCTTCATAGGACTGATCACACTGGGTGCCTTGCTTATGGGTGTATTCTGTTTCCCTGCTGAAACACGAGACCTCAGTGTTCCATCTGGCCTCACAGTGCCTGTGTCCCTTATCTTTGACTTGAGCTCTCCAGTTGTGGAGACTTCTGTGCTACCTCAGAGCATCTCTTGGGACCACTCTGGGGCTTGCATCGGACTCCCTCTGGATCCTCAAAGAAGTATCCCTTCATCCAGGCAGCTGTGAAGACTTCTCCCAGGTGCATGTAAGGATGACCCCTTCTCATCCATAGTTTTGGAGAATAATTGGAATGTGCCAGGATGCAGCACCTGGAGGAACAGATGGTCAGGATAGCCCAGGCTCTGCTTTCGGTTTTCCCAGCCTAGAAACAGGACATCCTTTGGTGCTTCTGCTCAGCGAGTCTGTGTTCCTGGAGTATAAAGCCAGGCAGGCCACCTTCCATGGTCCCCGTCAGTGATACAGGTGGGAAGCCCACAACTGAAACCCCTTTCTCCCTGGAGGCCTTCCTGAGCACCTGGGCACTGGCCAGCAGTCATCCCAAGCCTCTGCCATCTCTCATTGCCCAACTGTAAGCAGTGACTCTGCCCTGTGCAAATACTCATTCTGTCTCCCCAGACTCAGGCTTCCCTTCCCAGAGACAGGATTCCTGTCAGGTCAGTGAGGCCCTGCACTTATTTTTCCCTCTTCCCTGGAATCCTCCTCCTTCCTCCTACCTGCTGCTGAGGAATCAGCTCTCAGGTGAGCTACCTGCTTCCAAGTTCCTGTCTCAGACTGCCTGAGGGGACCCCCAAGTTAAGATGCTATTCAAACGACTTTTGAAGGAATGAATTTGTTCACTCAGCAAGGGCAGGCAGCTCAGCTTGGCAGGAGGGTGATGGGCCCAGTCAGCTCGTGCACCAGGAAGCAGGAGGTGGGTCAGGCAAAAGAAGCCAGGCACCAGCAGAAACGTGAGCACATGCTCCAAAAGCTGGAGACGAGGCTGATCCTGCTTCGGAGGGCCCAGAAAGTCTGCCAGAAGTAAGCATGTGCCTAAGCTGCCTTAGTCAACTGGCGTGATCAAGTGTGGAGGACGCCCATTGGCTCACACCTGTGCAAGAGACAGCTGCAGATCTGTCCACCAAGCAAGTCAGGCTTGCATGGCCCCTAGGACTGCACAACCCCAGCGCTTTCTTCTGACTAGAGACTACCAATCAGCCAGAAGCACTGGGAAGGAACAATGTCAGCAGCCTTCAGCGGCCACAGCAGTGGAGACTCCAGCCCCTCGTTTCATCCTCACACAGCACAGGTGTCCGGTGCCTGGGCACTGGGAACAGAGCCACCCTGCCCTGAGTGTGACCATATTAGCTGTTCCCTTCCTCTGCTCCTATTTCCTAGAGTCCCTTCCCAAATAAACTCATGCCCAAATGCTTCCTCAGGATTTGTTGTAGGGGCTGTTTCATACGAAATTTCCATCACTGGTAATTTTAACAGTAAACTAAGTAAAAAATTTCAGTCGCCTCCCTAACTTTTTTCTCTGGTTTCTGAAGTCCGTAATCACACACTGCTGCCTCTCCAGGCAAATTTGTTCTCTTCATCTCCCTGTAACAGCTGGAACCTCTTTGTCCATGGCTCCCTTTCCATTTTCCAAAGTCCAGCAGAGGTGAGGAATGGGAAGGAAGGCTTGTGTTCGTCCACAGGAGGCTGGTCTTCATTACTCCACTGGCCACACGGTCCATTGTGTGATCACTTTAGGCATAGGTGAATGGTTTGGTGAGATCTCTTTGTGCCATGGTGATAATCAGGTTGAGATGGGAAGTGCAGCTGTAACACAAGTGGGTCACGTTTTGGCTGCTTCCTGAAGTACACACGCCAGAAGGAAGTGTGACCACCTCATCCTGCTGATTTGCCAAGTTCCCTCTCCCTAATGGCCTTTTATGTTCACCATTAAGTATGATGCTGCTGTTGATCAGGAAAAATCTTTTTTCTAGTTTATTTGATTTTAAAGTCACTTACTGGGTATTGAACTTTATTTTGTGCATTTTAGCTGTTGAGATAGTTGTATAATTTTGCTCCATTCTAATGTTGAATTACTTATCTCTTGACCCAAAGTACATAATGCTGGGTTTGGTTTTCTAACGTTGGGTTTAAGCAGGCTGCTTATTTGTTTAGTGTCCTCTTCTCCTCCAGTGGTGCTAGAGACTAAGCCTGTGTGCTGGGCTGTACCCTACCCCTGAGTGATATCCCCAGTTCTTTCCACTTTTCAGTGAAAGAAGGCCTTACTGTGTCACCTAAGCTGGCTTTAAGCTTTTGACCCTCTTGCCTCAGCCTCCTGGGTCACTGGGATCACAGGACACTGTGCCCTGCTAGGTACTTTCCTTGGATATTCAAGAAACAGATTGGTTTGGATTTTCTTTCTTATATTTTTCTGGATTTGACATTAAGATTACATTAGCTTTATAAAGGGAGTTGGAGTTTTCTGGTTTAAATCTTCCAAATCTTTTTTCTTCCCAAATCTATTTTATTCATAGATAAAGAGAAAGAAAAGAAGAAGAAGAAGAACAATAACAACAATGAAAACAAAAGCTACAACAAAATTTTAAAGTATGTCAATCGGGGTAAAAATGATACATACACTGCGCATTGTGATTCCCAGAGCACTCATTCCCAGAGCACAGACATCTGCCTTCAATTGTCTGAACAATATCAGTACAAATCTTTCTCTTCAGCGAACTCAAAGAAACCAGTAGTATAAGAATCTTAACTTTTTATATACATACACATATACATATGTTTTTTCTTTCAGCTTGTCACATTAATGAAACAATATGATGTTTACATATGTGCCTTATTTATGTCACTAATGAATATATTCTCAAGGTGCATCCACTTACCTATAAAAGTGTCTAGTTTATCATTACTATGGCTGAGTAATACTCCATTGTTTAAAAATACCACATCTTTTTTATCCATCTCTCAGTAGACAAATATTTAGGTTGTCTACAAGATCTGCATATTACAAATTCTGCTGCTATAAATATGGATGCACATATATCACTGTGGTGTGATGTTTTTAAGTCGTTTGGAAAGACATCAACAAGGGGAATTGCTGGGTTGAATGGGACCTCCAATCCTAGTTTGTTGAGGAACCTGCACACTGATTTCCACAGTTGTTGCACCAGTCTGCATTCCCACCAACAGTGGAGAAGGGCTCCTTTTTCCTCACAGCCCCTACAGCATTTGTTATTGCTTGATTCTTGATAGTAACTGTTCTTTCTGGGGTGAGTTGGAATCTCAGTGTTGTTTAATTTGCATCTCTCAAATGACCAATAATGTTGAACATTTTTCCACATATTTATTTGCTGTTCCTGTTTCTTCATCTGAGAAGTGTGTATTCATCTCAGATGCCCTTTTTTTGATTGCGTCTTTAAATCTGAGAGGACTGATTTTTTGAGCTTTTTATATGTTCTTCATAGTAATCCTTTGTTTGAGGTACAGATGGAAAATATTTTCTCCCAACTTATGGTCATCTCTTCACTCTGTTGGTGAGTTTCTCTTGCTGTGCAAAAGCTTTTCAGTAGGGTGAGATCCCAGTGGCTGATTCTTTGTGGTAGTTCCTGTGCCTACACCAACATCTTCAAGAGTTTTACCTACT